CAGTCAGTCAGCAATCAACAGATGTATAGACAGAGACCCAGTCTATCGAGTAATGAGAAAAATGATAAACGACAAAAGGGTGAGAAATGAAGCAGAGGAAGAGCGATCAGAAAAAACTATTTAGTCAGTCAATGACACAACAAACAGAAGAAACAAACAATCACAGACCACTTCGTCACGGCAAGCTACTAAATCACTTACAGAGAGATACTGATAGCTCACTACATACTGAAGTTAGTGCTGATGATGTCACTGTCTAGAAAGACGATGAAAGTTTCAAGATTAAATAACCCAGCTCAGAGAACATAATACAACCAAAGCATGATCCACTAGGCTACTGGGTCATATTGTCACTCAAGGAGAGAAATCACAACATATAACACCAAATTAACCACAATTTGAAAGTGCCCACTAGGTGGAAGAAAATAAGTATATGAAATACAAGTGAAAATACCTATACAGGAGACAGATACTACATCTACGTAAATGTTTTGATAATATAATGCATATTAGTAATACGAACAGACGCAGAAAAAATAGCGGATATGCTCACACCACTTCCGTTGCAGAAAATTGGCAAGTAAGGAAGGAAAGGTACGTGACGATCGACTGGAAGGAGGGCTACCTTGTTAAACTTCCAAACAGATTAGACCCAAGTCTTTGCAAGAACTGGCGACGAATCATGCTCCTGTCCACACCAAGCAAAATATAAGGCCACATAATCCTGGGCAGAATAAAAATGTGCAGAACTTAAAACTATGACCCCAACAGGCTGGCTGGATTCAGGAAGTACAAACCAGGTCCGGATCAAACTGCAACGCTACGCAACGCATCATCATAGAACATAGCATAGAATGGCAGTCAACTCAACTCAACCTCAATGACTTTGAAAAGGCCTTTGACAGCGTCGACCGAAAAGTAATTTAGCACCTGCTTCAACACTACAGTCTCACTACCACAAACAAACATCAACATCATTCAACACCTACATCATGATGATGCTACACACCAAGTGATTCACAATCGAAAGCTCAGTGATTCCTTTCAACTGAACTGAACTCAACTGAACTGAAGACAGGAGTAAGACAAGGTTGCCACCTACCATCACCTATCACCTTCATGATTGTGGTCCAATCCACTCCACTGCACTCCACTACACAACACTGGGTCATGTAACAAACTGTGAGCAACTGTGAGAAGATGGATATACGATCTTTGACGCATGAAATGACCCCACAACAACATTTCGATTTCAACTCCGATGACGATTTATGTCTAATGTCTTGTCACACAAACTCGAAAATCTACAATCGAAAAATCAACAAGTTGGTAGAAGAGGTAGGTCAGCAAAGACAGGACTTCCTTCAGGTATACGTAGAGAAGACAGAGGTGATGAAGATACCCAACCACCACCACCACCAACAACAAATACCATCAACAGGAGAAATCTAAATGAAGTTGTCTCCTTCACGAATCTACCTGTCTAGACAGCATCGTTCTAACTACAAGCAGCACAGGCATAGATGAGGGTGTCAAAGCAGCCAGTATCGGAAAGACAGTAAGAGAGGCCTTCCTGCATTTATCTGAAATCAGCATAAAGAACAAGATCTGGATTTTCAACACCAATCCAGACAAGTTAATGTTTCCGTGTGTTGGTTGAGAGACTTGGCGTGTTCCGAAAAGCATTTCCAACAAACTACACACATCATATCAACAGCTGCTGTCTTTGCTAACTCGATACTGAAGATCAGATCGCCAGAAACAATAAACAAGGAACTCTGGATGGCAATGAACCAAAGGACCAAGGTCCTAACAAATATCCAGAGGGAAGTGAAGATGGATTGGGCATACACTCACTTCACTTTAAAAAGCATCACTGAACTTCCCATTGTGAATTACTTGGCTGGCATGTGGCATCTTCATATAGTTGTTGAATGAAGCGCATAAAGGTTTGCGGTATTCCATAGTGTTGAAGCAACTTCCAAATTACTTCTCAGTCGACGCTGTCAAAGGCCTTCTCAAAGTCGATGAAGTTGAGGTAGAGTGTTGGCTACCATTCTATACTCTGTTCTATGATGATGCGTAGTGCAGCGTTGCAATTTGGTCCGCACATGATTTGTACTTCCTGAATCCAGCCAAGCAGCCTTTTCGGGTCGTAGTTTTGAATGCAGTGCATCCTTTAGTCTCTCCAGGATGATGCGGCTTAATATGTTGCTTGCTTTGGGTGGACAGGAGCGTGATTCCGCGCCAGTTCTTGCAAACACTTAGGTCGCCCTTCTCCGGGAGTTTCACAAGGTAGCCCTTCTTCCAATCAATAGACAGGTACCTTCTCTTCCTTCCACACCTTCTGCAATAGTGGTGTGAGCATGTCCGCTGTTGTCTCTGCGTCTGTTCTCAGTGCTTCTGGTGGGATCCCATCTGGTCCTGCTGCTTTCCCACATTTCAGCAGCTTTGTGGCGCTAAGGACTTCCACTTTTGTTGGAGGATTTATGTTCACTTGTAGTTCTGTGGCTGGGCTGTAGGTGGTATTTCTGGACGAAGTGCAGGTGGTGGTCGATTCAAGAGCTTCTTGAAGTGGTCGGCCCATTGTTTCTTTCTTTCTCTTCTTTCGTAATTACATTTCCGTCATCATCTTTTATTGGTTTCGTCTGCGTTGATCTCTTCCCTTCCAGATAGTAACCTGGTTATTTGATACAATATTGTCAGTTCTCTGTCTCTCCTACCAGCCGGCAGCCTGTTCTGCTTCACTTGCCAGTGTTTCGTAAAAGTGTCTTTTGTCTTTCCGTGCACTCTTCTTCACTTCTTTGTCCAGTGTAGTGTTTTATACATTGTGCTCAGTTCCTCTTGTCGTTGAGCATCCTTGCGCTAGTTTATCTTCTGCTTCACCATCCTCCTCTCCCTGCTCTATCAGCTTCCATGTATCCGTCGAGATCCATTCCTTGTCCTGTCTTCTTTCTTCTTCTTTCCTAATACGGTTATGCAGGTTTCTTTCCACATCTGTTTCAAAGAGTTCCAGTGTTCTTCGACACAAATTTCTTCAGAGATGTTCCTCGATATCTCCAATTTAAAGTGAACGAGCTGCTGTTTTTCCAAGCCACAACTATTATTATTTTTCGCTTGGTTTCCTAGTGGAACACGCCTCCATTCCACTCTAGTCTCTGCAGTCTTTTGAACCTCGCTCCATCGCTGCCCACAAGCTTTGATCTCTTCCTCACACGATCTCCTCCATATCACCCTCGGCTTCGACGCCCAAGTCGTCGTTTGCCATTTGGATTCCACTCGACGGCCTGGCAAGTGATGTCCCCAGTCGGTCTTCTCAGTGTATGCCCAATCCATCTCCACTTTCTTCTGCATATTTGTTGAGTAATAGGTTCTTGGTTAGATCATTCCCAGAGTTCCTTGTTGCTTATTCTTATTATCCTGGCCATCTGATCTTCAGTACTGAGCCAGCGTAGGCAGTTGTTGATGAATGTCTGTAGTTTGTTGAAAACGTTTTTGTGACACGCTAAGTCTCTCAACCAGCCCACAGAAGCACTGACTTGACTGGGTTGGTGTTGAAAATCCGGATCATGTTGTCGCTTTACGCTGGGTGAAGTGCAGCAGATCTCCACACTGATTTCAGGTTAGTGCGGAAGGCCTGTCTTGTTGTCTTTCTGATCGTGGCTGGCTTCGACGTCCTCGTCTGTGGCACCACCGCCACTTGTAGTTGAGACGATGCTGCCTAGGTAGGTGAAAGAGACTACTTCCTTTAGGTTTCTCCCGTTAAAGGGGGTTGGTGCTTGTTGTTGATGCTGTAGTTGGTTGGGTATCTTCATCACCTCCATCTTCTCTACATTCACTTGAAGTTCCGTTTCGCCTCTTCTGTCAACTTGTTAGTCTTCGCATACAGATCTTCAAGTTTGTGCAACAAGATATTAGACACAAATCTTAAGGGGAAATCCAGATCTTCTAGGCTCTTCTCATCGGTCAAGCAGCGTATGATCACCTCACAGCTCCTCACGGTTGTCTGCTGCATGATCCAGTCCACCGCAATCAGGAAGATCATCGGCAGCCTTGTCTTACTCCCGTCTTCAATTCGCTTCAAAAGGATCACTGAGTTTTCCATTGTGGATCACTTGGCATATGGTGTTTTCGTATAGCTGTTGAATGAGGTTGATAAAGGTTTGTGACACCAAAACGGTAGTATTGAAGCAACTGCCAAATTACTTCTCGGTCGATGCTGTCAAAGGCCTGTTCAAAATTCATGAGGTTGAGTAGAGTTGACTGCCATTCTATGCTCTGTTCTATGATGATGTGTAGCGTAGCGTTGCAATTTGATGCGCACATGAGATGTTCTTCCTAAAGCCCGCCAGCCTGTTCCGGTAGTACTTTTGAATCCAGTGTGTCATTTAGTCTCTCCAGGATGATGTAACATAATATTCAGCTTGGGGTGGACAGGAGTGGAGCATGATTCCGCGCCGGTTTTTGGAAAGACTTAGGTCGCTCTTCTTCGGGAGTTTGACAAGGTAGCCCTTGTTCCAATCTACAAGTACTTTTCCTTCCTTCCAAACCTTCTACAGTAGTGGTGTGAGCCTAGTTCTTCATGAGTAATATCAACTCAACATAAAAAATACTACTCTGTTTCATTTGCTCATACAATCCCTAATTGCAATACACATCATGATAGCCACAACAAGAAAACTTATCATTTTGACTACTAACTGAGATAACCATACTAAGTCGTGATTGAAGGTAAAATGAAAATCTGGACCATAGCCAGATTTAAACCTGCGACAACTAGGTTTCCAGTTTGATGCTCTAACCAACTGAGCTGGAAGATCTCAGTTCGTAGAGCACTGAGCCAGAAATCTATGGTCACTGGTTCGAATCCGGTTATGCTTCACATTTTCATTTTATCTTCAATTATCATCCAGTATAAATAGAAAAAAACATTTTCAATCTATTATTTACATACATCAGATCATGAAACAGTCAAAATTGAAATAAGCAAAACAAGAGTGTTGACAACTAAACAGTTTTTTTTTCTAATGTATATTCATTTACACCAAATATTGTATTGAATAATATACACTGAGAGGAATGAATGAATGAATGAACATTAATTTCAAGTAAATACAATAAATGTACAAAGTTTTAGTTTACATTTCACCGCATTGAGAGATAAGCACAGGAACTTTAGGACGATTATTAGCACCAGTTGGAACATTTTCAATTTTTTTCAATACTAACATTCCATCAACAATTCGACCTTCATTAGATAACAATAAAATTAAAGACATTTTAAATGCTACAGTAATTATATTTTCATATGAAATCAAAGTACCAGGCTGAAATATTAAAGTGATATATGACATAACACATTAGGTAATGATGAAAAAGTTATCACAAATAGGGTAAACATATCTTTAATCACTGAAACTAACCCCTATTATATGAATTCACAATTCAGTGAGAGAAGATCTCATCCATCCAGATCAACGTAGGACCAAGTATTACTGCGTAAACGTCCGAGTTGCCACACCTCATATCAATACATCAAGTAAAAAGGCAATGAGGTGCAAGATGAAGATAAGAGAATGCAGTCAGAAGAAATATAAAGTACGAAAAGAGAGAAAGGAAGAACCAGAAAGTGGTGAGATTCGGTATAGTGTCGTTAACATGAGGATAAGGTATGTATACACTCGCATAGGTTCTGAGCCATATCACCTAGAGCCAGTCTCCAACCACTGGTTCCTCTTGTCCCAAGGACCCCAACCACCTAGTCTGCATCGCTCCACATGGCTCAAACCAACAGTCACCGACTTCATATATTGGTACCATGTTTTAGTCTGGCCACCTCGTGCCTGTTTCTAGCCTGGAACTACTTCAGCCAACATTGTGTGACGAAGCAATCGGCGACTAGGCATACATGACACGCGTCCCAACCATCTAAGTCGATGAAGGTTCACAACCTCGTCAACCGAGAGAGAAGATCTAGAAAACATTTTTTTAAAAACTGAAGTCCACTCAGTAACCTTGTGTACATTCGTGCAGTAGGCAGTCAGTGCCTATGATACTGATACTAACTGGTTACTTTAACCTCGACAGGTGGAATGGGGTTCGAACCCACAACGTTCCAAACCAATGAGTTACAGCTCCACGTCTGGCTACCTGAACTATAGTAATGGAAGTCGGAATCAAACTCACTACTCGTTGAGTGTCTAGACTAATGAGTTACAGCTTTACAAGAAAATAAACTAGCTGTTATGTATGGATGGTAAAATACTATTTAATCAGACCCAACAGCGAAGTCAAGCACATTGCTCAATTGGGAATCGATATTGACGAGGTGTTTCTTGTTATTATAATTTGCCTTTCGGTTTCTAATGGAACATAGAACTTCAGTAGCACGTCGCCATTTCACTCTCTTCTCTGCAGTCTTGCCAACCTGGCTCTACCACTGCCCACAATCTTTCATTTCTTCCTCACATCATCTCCATATCACCCATGGCTCAGGCGCCTAACTGGTCGTTTCCCCCTTTGTGTTCCACTCGAGGACTCGACCTGGCGTGTGATATTCCCCCAAACGGTCTTATCAGTGTATGTTCAATCCAATCCATCTCCACTCTCTTCTGCATATATTGTTCAGTTGGTTCATTGCCATCCAGAGTTCTTTGTTGTTTACCGTTCCTGGTCATCCGATCTTCAGTATCAAGTGAGCGTAGGCAGCAGCTGTTAATGTGATGAATGTGTGAAATTTGTTGGAAATGCTTTTCCTAAAGCATCAAGTCTCTCAACCAACACATGGAAACACTAACTTGACTGGATTGGTGTTGAAAATCCAGATGTTATTCACGTTTTATGTTGAGTGGAGTGGAGTGCAGTAGATCTCCACACTGATTTCAGGTTATAGAATGCTTATCTTGCTGTCTTTCCGATACTGGCTGCTTTGACACCCTCATCTATGTGTTTCACCTTCATTGCATACGAAGCCATTTTATTTAATGAGAGAGAAAAGGACATGAAAAGCACGATATGATTGGATACTGAACGATCGGTTACTGTCACAAACAGTTATCTTTACGTAACTTCAGTTGATAACTAACACAGCTACAAGTAAATACGAACAGAACAAATCAGGTAGAAGCTGGGCGTGTTCATTCTCGATATGACCTTGAGATGCAATGAGAAAATATTTTCTCTAGGTGCCATTCAATATTAACCATTCATAGAGCGAAGTTGTGGAGTTAGACTGAAAGTTTTGCATAAATATTTCAAGTTCTTATTCATCGTAGAATGACATCAATTGGAGGAACAAAGGAAACCTAGGAGCACTGGACAGTTGTTTCGTCACACTAGTATGGGAATCCTCAGCAGCGCGTACCCAAAACCCTGTCAGGGATCGAACCCACCACCTTCAGGTCCCATGACCAGCACGTTATCATTGGAGCCACTGGGTCAGAATCCAGTCGTCCATATTTCCAATTTCTGTTAGCTTTGCATAAAGTTAAGTTTTCCCGAAATGTTACAATTAAAAAAACAATAAAGTTATCGCGTTGAATTCTCTCGCTTATGGAGGTAGATAAATGAAAGTCGATTAAAAACATTATTATAAATCCACTAGTATACAGCATTGTCTATCTCTTTAAGACAAAATCTACCCCCATAGAACTATGTCACACATTCAGAATATATCTGGCTGACTTACCAAAAACAACATGTTTCCCGTCAAGAAAATCACAAGGTGCACATGTGATGAAGAACTGGCAACCATTTGTATCTCGACCACTGTTAGCCTTAGGTAAAAAGTAAGTAGAACAAGGCAATTATTATAAAAATAGAATACAAATGACTGATATAAAATACGAAAGGTTACTGATAACTGCACGTTAGATAGGCGTGTAGAGACGCCACTACCTCTCGGGTAGAAACTGTACTTCTCGGTCGAATATCAGTCAACAATCATCTATGTGCTGTTCGTTTCAATTGACTTCGAAGAGTAAGTAAGAATCATAATACTTCCCAATGCCTATTCGTATTCTCCTCCTACGTGCTCATTGCTCGCATTTCAGTTGAGAAACAAAGGATACATACTATCAGAAACGATCAAGGTTGTTACAGAAAGTAAAACATTCAGATATATATTTATCAAAGTAGACCACTTCAAAGCTTAACCAAGGAAGCTAAATCATACAGATAGGCATTCCCCAGGTATCTACGGAATTTTATCCCAATGGTGACAATCTATTCCAATTTTCTTCTGACAATCACTTGCTCATGGTCATTACTAACTTCAAGCATAAGGAGAGATACTGTTTCACATGGTATTCACCAACATAAAACCAAAAATGGAGCATGGAGGATTATTGCTCTTTCTTTAGTGCCTATTTCGACTTTGATCACGAGTCAGTACAGGGTCGTGTATGTGCCTCCACCTTACAGGTGATAAAAAACAGGCGACAATGAAGCTTGCCTGTGAACCATTGGAAGATTACAGTGTGAATTAGCCAATGATCTCAACTTGATAGAAATCTTCATTCTAGAGTGATATTTAGTCTTTCGTAGAAACAGTGGTAAAAGCAGTTGGTAACCTACACCCAAAGGTTGGGAAAGATCAATGGACTTCCGCAACATCATCTAAGCTGATTCATGTGAGAAGAATGATTCTAGCTGCCACTGACCATGATGAAGAGTGAAAGTAACTCAAACATAAACTGACCGAGTCTGTGCAATGATCACGACCAGTGATGGGTAGAGACGGTGAGAGAAATGGAGAAGGCATGAGAGTTGGGTAACATTCAACAACTATTAAGGCTTATTAAGCATGCCAGAAAGAAAACAATGGTCAGTTAAATTCCTTACAGTAACTACTCAGAATAGATGGATAGAACATTGGGCAGAACAATTTGAATGTACTTCAACTGGTCCCCAAGCAACGCTTCGGTTGCCGAACATCCAGTCTGAACCTGATGGAAAGCAGATGCCAGTCCTCCAATTATCCTTCAAATTCAGAGGGCTATTTCGAACCTGAAACGATGCAAAGCAGCAGGATCTGATAGTTTTGAAGGATGGAGGTAGGAAATTACCGATTGGAGTGGCGAAGGCACTAGGCAGAGTGTGGGAATCAGAGGCAGTGGAGTTAGACTGGTCTGCTTTGCTGATCGTTCCACTTTATAAAGAGGGAGAAAAGTCTTCCTGCGGCAACTACAGGGGAATCAGTTTGACCAGTATTATGTCCAAGATAGTACGATCCACAGATATCCGACACCTGAGTAGAGCTCGAAAACACCAAACTTCAGAAAACCAGGCAGCATTCAGATACACCTGGACGAGGGTGTATCAATTGAATTCTCACACTCCGGTAGGTTCTCGAATACAGGCATCATATCGTATATCTACTTTATTGTCTACGAATATGAAACTGGGTATAGTTTTTTATTTTTTTCCTAATTTGCATTTATCAATCAATCATACATAACTTACCATAGATAACATTCCACATGTACAATGTTTCAAATGGAAATTTTCATCTGCAAATTGTACACCACCATAAATACTAAATGATCCAGTTCCATCCCCCTGTTAAGTATAAAAAAAGGAAATTTATTATTTTTCAAATAAAAGTATATAAAACATGATTGGTTACAGATGTCTTTGTAGCATTGCTGGTGTTTGATGGGATCACTGTGTGAATAATTTTAAGGTTAGACGAGAAGTTCACAAAAGAAGATAAGTTATTCAATGAAATTGTTAACCTTTATCAACTAATACGGCTTAGATATGTGCTGTGCGTGTCAAATTATCACCTATTTCGCAGTTCCCTGCTAAGAGGAGTTAGATTCGTATAAGAATAAAACTTGGGCAATATAGTCGATTTTAATTTCATTTTTAGTCTGTCTATTAGAAATATCATACAGTGAAGGAACAGTAGCATTGACTGGATTACATTTCCTATACAATCCATTGTCCATATTCACATCAGATCAGGTAATTCCACAACTTTAAGACATCCTTTATATAGTCTTAATTTTCTCTATTTCCTTATGATGACAAGGGTAGTAGAATCTTCTATATGTCTGGGCCAGGTGAAGAATCATTTCTATTACTGTATGTATTTCGTGTTGATTGGATAAGTAAAGATTCGGTTGTCAATCTCTTCCTCCCTCAATCCAACTAAGTTAGTTGTAATGCTGTCGCTGTATCCCACCCGACTGTGTGATTGTGTATAATTGCATGGAGAGCTACAGCCGAGCTTCTCTCTAAATTTCTCATTTTGTTAGGATCTACTAATCTTGATTTCGTTAACTTTTTGTCCTCTGCTATTCTAATCGACTTTAACCCGTTGACTACTTTAACCTATATATTTGATCTCGCAATCATTGCAAGGGATTTGGTAAACCAAATTAGTTTGCTTAGTTGCACCAATAGGACCTTTTAACCTATGCGAGTTTATTAGTTTAAACTCCACTCTAATCCCAGCCAGCTTTATTGAGAATTTGTCACTGAGCTTCTCAGGTGTTGTGTTTGAGTGGTAACACAACAGAGGCGTGGAATTCGCTCTCCATCCCATCATAATTATTACTCAGAACACCTGTGTTGCTACCATTATTAATACTACTGATGGTGTTGATGATGATGAATTTATTTATAAGCACTGAAACGCAAGGTATTCCAGATGTCCTAATTTCTTGTCGCAGATTTTCTATCCTATTAGTAAGCATTTTTGTTCCACTACTTAGGTATTTAACTAAGCCTACTTTGCATGGTGTGATAAAAAGGCGGAGGTTATCTGAAAATTTTGATGTATTAACGCAATACATTTCGAACAGTCTAGTCACATATTTACGTGTCAATGCAAGGATGAAAATAGGGTGGGATAAAATAAATAAATTACGTAATAGTACAAGATTTGGAAAATGTAGGGATAATAAAAAGGAATAATATATTTTTACACCTCCTTTGATATTTAAATAAGATAAAGGTTACCAAAGTGGGGTTTAAGTTAGGGACAAGTTGTTTTTGAATACACAAAGGGGGTTTTAACTTTCGTGTAGCTAAGGCTTCAATGAAACAAAGTATACGATCTTTGATGGCTCATTTTCAATAGTCTAAAGGCTGTTTTGGGGTCAATTCTGTGACTAGTTTCTTTAAAGTGTTTACCTATCGACGATGACATCTGTCTGCCCCAAATATTTTTAATTAAATTTTGAGGGGGTTGTGGAGATTTGGAAATATTTCAAGTTGTTATTCATCGAAGACTGACATCAGTTGGAGGAACAAAGGAAACCTGGGAGCACTGGACAGCCGTTTCGTCCTAGTATGGGACTCCTCAGCAGTGCGTACCCACGACCCCACCGGCAGGGATCGAACCCGCGACCTTCAGGTTCCGCGACCAGCGCGTTACCATTGAGCCACTGGGTCAGAATCCAATGCTCCATATTTCCAACTTCTGTTAGCTCACGATATGGCGCAAACCGCCACCCAATGTTATCATACTAGGACGAAACGGCTGTCCAGTGCTCCCAGGTTTCCTTTGTTCCTCCAACTGATGTCAGTCTTCGATGAATAACAACTTGAAATATTTCCAAATATTTTTATCGGATTATTTGAATGTAGTTGTTTTTCTAACCATTAAGGAGTATGCTCTGCCACCCTCAACTTCATAGTTCGATTACTCCTCCAAATGTATATGTCACACACACACACACACACACACACACACACACACACACACACACACACATGTAAATTGGTATGCACAGTGGGATATGACGTAATTACCTATTTAGTGAAGAGGCTTATTTTGAAGTATAGGTTTTTTTCTCTCTATAATATTGAGCCTACTTTCACTGAGATGGGGTGAGATGATTTCACGTGTTTAATGTAGTGATTCAAATGGGAAGGTTTCCTATAGACACTAGTCTCTAAACTTTCATCTTGTTTTCGTTTAATCTTGCAGTTCAACACTGCTAGCTTACCTTCATCACTTTTGAAGTCATCGGTAAATTCGATTGGACTAAGTGCTGAATTTATGCGTGTCAACATTTCAGGACTGTAAATGTGTCATCTACATATTGGAACCATATCTCTGGAGTAGGAATAAATGCTTGAAGGGTCATTCGTTCCCAACTGTTCTTAAATACGTCCTACGACGATAGGGGATACCAGTGATCCTATGGAAACTCCTTTAGTCTGTTTATACATTTCATTTTGAAACTTGATAGCGACAGACGTCACACAAAATCGTATGCCTAGTTGGATTAGTTTAGAAAAGGGTTCAAGCGTGGCCAGACTGACATGGAGACGATTCATGAAGTCCCTGACTGTTGATTTGAGATGTGTAGCGAGATATCAACTATCTGGTTGGCATCTTCGAGACCAATGGAATCAATGGTTAAATGGCTGAAAATCAGTCAAAAGGAGATGTATTCTCACTCTTTGACGCCTTCTAAAGCTTGGACACTTGCCATAGACTTTTGTCTATTTTAGTTACCCACTCGTTCTCTGCATGTTGCCAACTTGAACGAATGGATTTGTGTGCGAAGTTCTTCGTTGAATTTTGTATCTGTCTGTTATATAAAACATTACAGTGCAACATAGTCGTAAATGAATACGAAAGCGAGAGACTACTAACATGAAAACAATAGAAGAATAGTGCTATGCTAGTTATTTTAAAGGTGATACACTTATTTATATCACATTCAATCAAACAATATCTGTTACGATAGTAAACAACTGGATTAGTATAATACATACGCTAACCTTTTTCAGTACCAATAGGTCTTCATAACAACTCATATGTGAAAGCAAATGGATAAAGGAATACAAATCGAAAAAAATTTCGTAAGCGCTTAACCCATTATTAATCGGTTAGTGTGCTAATTGATTCATTGCTATATCAAAGTTTTGTAAAGTAAGTATGGATAGTGGCTAGCCATAAAATCTAAGAGCAGTTTGAAACGATTGGTTGCAGGTCTCATTCTTAATGGGAATAATATAACTCACTAGGAGGCAAGTACATCTAGATGATGAGTCACAGATAGGACGAAACGCGCGTCCTGGATTCCCACTGATAGCCCCTTATGCATCCATGCAGGAGCCTATATGCCAATATATATATCGATTAGTTCGATACATTAAATTTGGGGGCTTGTTGAGATTTAGTGATTTTTCAAGTCAATATTCATCATGAACTGACATTGGTTGGAGGGAAATTGGAAACCTGGGTGCAACTGACGGCTGTTTCGCCCTGGCATGGGAATCATCAACAGAGCGCACCCAGGAGCTTCAGGTTCCGCGGCATGCACGTTGTAAATCAGACACTGGGTCGGAATCTAGTTGTCCATATTTCTAACTTCTGTCACTTCACGACATAGAGCGACCATCAACCGATGTCATCATTGAGTATTTCTCCTCACGGCGACCAGGTTTGCCCCACTTATCATGACCTTTCATTCAAACTTCAGGAATCACCTTTCAAAGCTAGTCACCAACAAGCACTAGATCAATTGAATTTAGAGATTTGCGAGGATTTACTGATTTTCCAAGTTGATATACATTATGGACTAACATCAGTCACAAGAATATTGGAGTCCGGGGATCACTGAGCGGCTGTTCCGTCCTAGTATGGGACCCCACAGCAGTGCTCACCCATGACCCTATCAGAAATGTAACGCACGAACTTCAGGTTCGATCCAACCAACAATGGGATAATCCCATCCATCCGAGTCAAGATAGGACAAGACTGTGTAACGATTCGAGTTGCCATACCTCATATCAATGCATCAAGTAAAAAGGTAGTGAAGTGGAATTTGAAGAAAAGAAAATTCAGCCAAAAAATACATATGAAATAACAAAAGAGAGAAAGAAAGAGTGAGAAAGTGGTGAGATTTGGTACAGCGTCGTTAAGGTGAGGATAACATGTGTGAGGATACATCTGCGCCACTCACTCACTTATGGCCCGATGCCCTACCGACTGAGCTACGAGGTCCAACTGCTGACCACATTTTTCATTTCACATCAGTCACCAAGGCACTTGCCAGATTACCATGGGAATTTGTGACACGTTACTACCGCTTGATCGTATTCGTACTGGCTGCCTAATCAGGACGTCTCATCCTAATTCAAATCTGACTGAATCAGAGAAGGGGAACATCATATTGATTAGCATTTTGACTATTTGTGATGGTTGTAGTTTTGGCAGACTAGTATTTATACAAGGTCATGATTGAAGGTGAAATAAAAATTTGGACTGCGGATGGATTCGAACCAGCGACCACTGGGTTCCCGAACCGGCGCTCTGCTAACAGAGCTACGAGGTCCAATCACTGACCAGATTTTTATTTCATTTCAATCACAAGGCAAGGCTTTGCCCGACTACTATGTGACTTCGTGACACGTTACTACCGCTTGATCAGATTCGTACTGGCTGCCTAGTCAGGACTTCTCATACCAATTCAAATCAAAGTGAAGTAGAGAGAAGGAGCGTTTTAATCATTATCATTTTGACTGTCTGATATAGATATGCTTTCAGATTAGATTTTTTTTATTTGATTTATAACACATAGTGATATAGTATTATTTATTTGATGATGTTTTGAGCATAAATTACTCCTCATAATCATATCAATGTAATTACACAACTATCGATATCTAATGTTGATAGTTATATCACCTCATATGGTTTGTTTTTATTGGTAGTAAAATTTTCCATATCTCTGATATACGTGTTGCCTCATTCCTATCACATATGTTATGTGTTGATTCGATGAATAAAGATTCAGTAATCAATCTGTTTCTCCACCTAATTATATTGTTGGGCTTGAGTACAGTGGCTTCATCTTACCCAGCCTATTATTTGGTCACGTGTTGATGTATGCAATGCAATAACCGAGTGTTTTCTGGATTATTGATCTTATTCAGGTCTGTCTTTCTGTATTTACCTGAACACCTATATTCCACTACTATTCTAAGTGACCCCTCACAGTCGGACTAGTTTCACCTATGTACTTGACCTCATAGTCATCACATGGAATTTGATTGATTAGATTATTTTGTTGAATTGGTTCAGTCAGATCCTCAAGCCAGCCGACGAAGCTTATCTCTGAATGAGTTTGTAGGTTTAAATACCACCCTGATTCCAGCCTTGTTTAGGACACTACGTAAAGTTCCTGATGTCCCTTCATTATAAGGTAAGACAATGGAGGCTATGAACTCCTTTCTACTCGTGTTGTCGTTATTATTCATACTCGTGTTATTGTAATTTTTTCGTTCCTTATGTGTTCGTAGGAATTTCATAATAAACTGCTGAGGTGGATAATTATGAACTGTTAGTGCTTGTTTTATGTGTTTCAATTCCTTGTTTAGGTCCTTGGACTGACTAGTCAGTTTTCTAGCTCAATCATTTAGATATTTGACTAATCCTGCCTTAAATGACACTGGATGGGATGATAACAGTTGGAATGTGTCGGTTTTCTGTAGACGTCAGATTATCATTTTGATTATGTGAGATAGCCGTGGTTTGGTAGACAAGTATTTATACTGGGTCATGATTATAATTATTTTTCCTTTGGGTTCCTAGTCGAACACACGGCTTCACTTGCACGTCTACAGTACACTCTCTTCAATGCAATCTTTCCAACCTAGCCCCAACACTCACCACAACCTCTCATTTCTTACTCACACAATCTCATACATGTCACCCTCAACTACAACACCCAAATCACCGTTTCCCATTTGCATTCCACTCCACGACCTTGCCTCGCCTGACACGTCATGTGCCCTATCGGTCTCATCAGTGTATGCTCAAATCAAATCAATCTACACTCCCCTCCACTACCCTCCAGTGCATATTTGTTCAACGATAGCTTCTCACTTCGTTGGTTCCTTACCAGACAGTCACTCACAGTGACTTCCTCCTCACCTATTCTTATTATTCTCGTCATCTCATCTCATCTCCCTCCATCTTCACTGTCAGTATCGAGCCAGTGTGTGTGGCAGTTGTTCATGAGTGTGGTGGCAGTTTGTTGCAAATTCCTCTCGTAACACGCCACACCAAGTCTGTCAACCATCACATGGAAGCACTGACTTACTTGACTGGATTGCTGTTCAAAATCCACATGTTGTTCATGCTTAATGCAGAGTGGAGATTATTTCAGAGTAATGAATGAAGGCGTGTATTGCTGTCTTTCGTATCGTGTCTGGCTTTGACGTCCTCGTCTGTGCCTGTGCCACCACCTGTATTTGAAACGGTGCTGCCTAAGTGTTCAGTGAGTGGAAGGGGCTACTTTCTTTAAGTGCCTCCCGTTGATGGTGATTGCAGCTTGTTGTTGGTGGTGGTGCTGTTGGTTGGGTATCATCATCACCTCTGTCTTCTCACTGGGTCATGATAGAAGGTAAAATGAAAATTTGGACTGTGGCCGGATTCGAACCAGCGACTTTCGGGTTTCCAGTCTAATGCTCTACCAACTGAGCTACGAGATCCAGAAATTTTGATCTCACCTTCAATCATCATCCAGCATGACTACTACCTTCTCAAACTATGGCTTTATCAGATAATCAAAATGATAATGTAATTACTCTGCTTGATAAGACACAGTTTTACATGTTAATTAATTAACTCACATTGATAAAATCACCACCTTGTACCATAAAATCTTTAATAATTCTATGGAAAGATGTTCCTTTGTAGCCAGTTGGTACACCGTCTTTACGATATTCACCAGTACAAAACTGTCTGTTAAAAAAATAATAGACTAAAGCAATAAAACAATTAAATAAGTTTTTCTACATGGAGGAAAAAAACTAAAATCTTAAAATGGACTCAGCAGCACTATGTATATTCGTGTAGATTCTAGCTTTTTGCTTACGAATTCAACTATGAATCCCTGTCACAGGTATCGGCAAGTCGCAAAGAGGTGGGAGTGTGGTGTTTTGGGGACTAACCTTTCCTAACTCCGTACCGCTGGTGCCTACAGGGAAGCCAGCGTCGGTGTGGCACTACTGGTCATCGAAGGGAAACACCGTACTGCTGTCACACTCTTATCTAGTCAGTAATACGGCTCCGTCGACAGACCCCCACTAAGGCGTAGGACTATAATGGCGACAGCTTTTTGTCTAACCACTATTCAAAAGACCTTTCTGGTATGGGATGACCTTGAGCAAACAGGCGTTTCACCAGCATAGCTCGTTGCATCATTGTTATATACAAGCCCAACAATCAGGCCAACATAGCAGTTATCGGTTAGCTACTACCTCAACAAGTGGAGCATGGTTTAAACTCATGATTTTTTGATTGGAAGTTGAATGCCTTAATGAATGCACCACATTTGAACCAATGGTAATCACTGAACTCATGGTAAGATAGAGATAGAGAAGAAAAGCGATGATTATCGATGGACAGAACAATATTTAGACACCCTAGAGAATGTGATCAATACAAAGGTTAACAATGTTCTGAATGAGAAACCCTTTACAGTCATGTAGACTGACAACAACACCATAGTTTTAAAACTTGATCAGATGGTACAAAAAAAATCTACCTGAAATTCTCTACAGTCTTCGGAACAATATCTTGAAATAATTCAAACTGCATTCGACCAATTTCCTGCAAGAAAATCAAAGAAAAACATATTTAACACTTCTAACAAGAGTTAAACAGAATATTTGGCATGAACACAATTAGTTAAGCTTCAAAAAATTATAAGAAAAAGAAATAAATGCTGTTTAAGATGAGTTTCATGGTTCAATTGTCTAGTAGATAACCCTCTGGTATTTGGAGCAATCGGTCCCGGGTTCGAATCCCGATGGGAACAATATCACTCACTGAGATGTAGGTACATCCAATTGACAAGTTCAAAAAATAGGATGAAACATGCATCCTAGTTTCTTCTGCTAATCACCAAGATCAATATAAAAATTCTCTTTGTTTATGCATTCTACAATAAGAATGATTATTTCAAGTGAGGAAAACCTTAAGAAATGGTTACCTTGAGACTTCCCCTCTCAATACCGTTTAATATCTCCATCAACATGATATTTGTTTACACTGTTGTGTAGGCTTAAAAGTAGTTTTCAGTAAGGCTATATTTCTGTTCGATATACACAGACATCATTACAAAAGAATAAAAATTGAATATGTGAAGAAAAATAAATCAAGAGAAAGACAATTTGGAACCTAAGGAATTCGACATACCTGTCCACCAACAGTAACATCAAAAAATACTACCGGATTTTTCGGATTATTCATACGTTCTGCAACAGCTGGTAAAGGTACCGCCATGATCTTTAAAACAAAACAAAAAGTGGACAGAATTGATAGTCAATCAAGTGAATGATTAGATTAGTATGAAAAGATGGGGAATCATTAAAAATCTGGGAGCACTGGATAACTGTTTCGTTCTGGTGTGGGACTCCTTAGCAGTACGCATCTACGTCTCAGCTAGGAGTCGAACTTAGAATCTTCAGGTTTCATGGAGAAAGCTAACGCCAGTCCATGATGAATACTACCTCTAACTTAAAAATCTTCATTCATTTAAAATTATTTCATCATCATCATCATCATCATCATCATCATTATCAACATAGGACCAGACATTACTGCCTAACGGTTCGAGTTGCCACACCTCATATCAGTACATCAAGTAAAATGGTAGTGAGGTGAAGGATGAAGATAAGTGAATGCAGTCAAAAGAAATATAAAGTACGAGAAGAAAGGAAAGAGGAGTGACAAAATGGTGAGATTCAGTATAGCGTTGTTAAGATGAGGATAATATGTGTATACATCTGCGCCACTGACATCGGTTCTCAGCCATATCACCTAGGGTCTCCAACCACTGGTTTCTCTTGTCCCACCAACCCCAACCACCTAGTCTGCATAGTCCTACATGGCTTAAACCAACAGTCACAGACTTCATACATTGGTGCCATGTTTTAGTCTGGCCACCTCGGGCCTTTTTCCAGCCTGGACCCACCTACTTCGGCCAACATTGTGTGAAGAGGCAATCGGTGACTAGGCATACGAAGTACGTGTCCCAACCATCTCAGTCGATGAAGGTTCACCACCGTGTCAACTGACTTACCTCTTCTCCCCAAAACTCTACACCTAACTTCTGTATATCATAACTAGATAAGTGTTGTTCTCCATAGGTGATTCTGCGTTGTCGAAACTGTAGAATAAACATGATATCAATATGTAGCGTCCTGTGTGTGTGTGTGTGTGAATTACGGATTGAGATTTATATGTACATGTGTGGTGAGTTCTCATTGCATGTATGATGGTTATATCAGCATGTGAGGTGGGTGAGGTGGGTTTAGATCAGGTCAAGCTACGTGTTATTCCTCCTTTTCTATGTCGACAACAGTGTGTAGAGAAGTTATGGCTTAAATATTTTCAAGTTTATATTACTTCCAGTCTTTTAAACAGAGCACACAATCCAATAACGGATGAAAATGAAAGAGTTACAACATGTAAAGAAGTTACTTGAACCATTATCTAATGATATTTATTTGTAAAATACAAAATAACATTATATTAGATGGTAAAACTGCTTGGAAATCATGATCCCATATAGATCATACACATCAGATGAAATTGAGTCTTTAACAAATACAATATCACAGTGTTCTATAGAACATCAAACACATTCTGGAGTACCTTAGTTCATCTGAAAGACAACATCGCTCTGAATACACAATCTAATTATGTTTATAAAAGAAAACAGTCAGAGTGCGATGTAGTAGTACACATAGGACAGACTTCCCATGAAATCAAAATTAGCAAAAAAGAGAACGCCGATAAGCTTCCATTAGACTCCTAAAATCCAGTGGAGCTGGAAAAACTTGAAAACCCTTCAGCCATACCTGTACATTCTATAATTCCAGATCACAAGGTCGACTCATTGACAATATCGAAATTATTCAGAAATACTTTAGAAATTATAAAGAATGTCTCATCGTAGAATGTGTTCACATGAAAGGGAATCAAAATTGTCTAAATAGGGATGAGGGAGTAAAACGTCGTAGTTTGACCTGGTCTCAACCCACCTCACCTTCACATACTGACATAACCATTATACATGCAATGAGAACAATCAACCCAATTGTACATACAAATCTTGATCTGTAATTCATACACCCTTCACATAACGCATATGGATATCATCTTTATTCTACAATTTCGACAACGCAGAATCATTCACGCAGAAGAACACTTGTCAAGTTATCATATACAAGTTTAGAGGATATTGTAAATTCCGGTTTACTGCAACACTGATAAAGCTGTTAGCAGCACTGAATAGCCAGATGTCAGTTGAAACAAATTTACTCTCCTTTACATTCATTGGGTAATACAAATAACAAAATAATGAATATCATTTGCCCAAAGCATCAAACTCCAACTTGATTTGGATATGTAAAAATGGACAGGGGTTTCTTTTCTCTAGTTTAAAACACCGGTACCTTGAACAACGGAGATCTCACCCGACCATTAGGTGCTATCTTGACGTGGTGGTCTGGCTTACATATAACGATGATCCGACGAGCTCTCCTAATGGAACGCTCGTTCCCTCAAGGTCCTATCATGTTAGAAAGACCTGTTGGTTAGTGGTAAAATAAAAAGCAATTACTGTTGTAGTGTAAATCGTTACACTGTGATGGGGGTCTGGCGGTGAACTAGTAGTGCTGGCTGGACGGGGCTGTAAAGTGTTTCCCTAGGATAGCACACTCCGCTCTCCTCCACGATGTTTCGGTGTCAGTAACATAGGTTTTCTCTACCTATCCAGCCCTAAAATACCGTATGTGACAGGCCTCAAGTAGATGTCGCATAGGCTCTGCAAGGACACATTATTTCTCTTTCAGATACTGCAAGGCGAAATAACTTTCCACGGTATAGGCAGCCGGGAAGTGACAGCAGCCCGCACTCTTTCAGTAGTACACACTGAGATCCCATGCCAAATTAAGTTTAAGAGATAGGAGTTTCGCATACATGGCATTTTTAACCTTCAAGCAACTGAATCGACATCGGGTGACTAATATTTTCAACTTTGACCGACGAGGTATTCAACCTAGAAATAGTGGCGATATTTTTAGCTCAAAGTGTACTTATTCAGTTTGAGTTGTTATCCGAGGTGGAGGTTCAGATGGCAAACGTTCCACTATCATGCAGACCACTTCATAATGAAGTAAACCAATTCGTTATGCAAATATACTCACAACGTATTATTTTATTAGAGTCCAGTCTGATTGGTCGTTTGGTGGTGTGGGCGTATGTTAAACATGAATGATTGACACCTCAGGGGTGAGCAACTGTGTCATTGAATGACTCATTTTTTTCACGAGTAGCACGTGAAGATCAGTTCGTGTTGATTACTTAGTCCTTCTAGTGTAAATGAACTGAGAAACGTCACGTTGGTCTGATTGGTTGACATTTTTATTTGATGGAAGCAAGACAGATTGTATAAAAGAGTCAGTCAATCAGATCAAAGATGACACTTCACATCATGAGTTAGAACGCTAACAGAATAAATTGTGAGCACTGAAAAAGGAGCCTATCTTCACCTATAAATTTGTACAGATGAACAAGCCTTTTTGTTACCTGGTTCTAAAGTTATTTCCTGATTAACTACCTTCATTCAGAAGTATTATCCATCATGAACTGATATCCTTTGTGGAACTATTAAAAACCTGGAAGCACTGAATACCTGTTTCATCCCAGTAAAGGACACCTCAGCAGTATGCACCCATGACTCCACCAGAGATCGAACTCAGGGCCACCAGCACACTACCACTGAGCCATAGCATCAAAAACTGGAAGTCCATAGTTCGAACCTCAAGCAAGATCATGATTATGCACTACTGAGCAGCTTTATATTAAAACGAAACAGCTATCAAGTGCTCTGTGTGTTTTAGACACCAGCATAAATCTTTCTAAGTCAACGTTCATGATACATCTCCAAAAAATCAGAAATTAATCAGACAAAAACGAAAATTAAGCCTCAGTTTCGTCATCATCAGCTACACACACACACGCACACACACACATATCGCCAATATTGAGTAATAATATGCTTATATAATATATGGAAGAAACAATATCTTCCGAAATCAAATCAAAAGAAATGATAGCTTAATCCATTTGAAAAAGAATTAATTTATTTCCACACTTTGTTTAACGCATTTTACACATAAAAAAGAACCCAATATCACAATTATTCAGCAAGAGTGAAAAAAAAATATGAGAAGTCAAGAATGTGTAGAAAAGAAAGAAAGAACACAACTGAAGGGATACAAAACACAAATGCTGTTTTTATTCTGAAAAAAGTAGTTAATGTACAGTTCAATTTAATATGTAATATTTCTCTATGTACAAAACTGTTCAAGGAACTAATAATAATAATAATAATAATAATAATAATAATAATAATAATAATAATAATAATAATAGTAAAACACTGTAGAAATGCATTCTCTGATAGAATATGCGGTTAATAACCTGAATATACATATATAATATTGATACTTTACATTTTCAATCTATACAGTATTGTTTGACATTTTTGTGAATACTCCTCAAGCATATTTACAGGGATATCATTTTCCTGCCGTCTACATATAGTTAAACTATCATTATTATCATCATTATTATTACTATTATTATCATCATTATTTTTCACAAGAGTAATTGACTGTTCAATTAAATCTATTAAGGAACAATTGTATGACGATGATGAAGTAGCTGATGATGATGATGATGATGAGGAGGAGAATGACGATGATGATGTCCAGAGAGGATAAGAAACCACTTCACAATGGTTGATACAATTATTCAATTTTATTATTGTTTCTGTTGGCAGTTTATTAATCGATTCAATGACTAGTCTACGATAAAATCTAATCAAACGAAATAAACATATTAAATAGGTGTATAGTAGACAGCAGTTAATCAGTGTTTTTACAGCTCCGTTAAGCATAGTTAAAAGATGAATTCCAGAACGATATATAACTTGTTTTAAAGATTCATAATGTGGACCAGGATTAGCTGTTTGAAATAAATGCAAGCCATAGGTGATAATGTCAACAATTAGACAGGATAAACGGCTGATGAGGTTCAACACTTCAGTGTTTGTTGATAAATCTTTTGATCTGTAGTAGAAAATAAAGATGTTTTTTTTAATTTTCGAAAAAAGAATACTAAGCAGTTAATAAAATGAATATCCAGTTAGTTATGTAATACCGTGTTTAATGGTACAATGATAATCTGCCTCAACCCGATACACATTTACGTACTAAATCATAGAGAGAAGTGCACTCAGAAACCTTGTGAACATTCATCCAGTAGGCAATGAGCTAAACCTATTCTGTGAGAGATAATGAAACTATCTTGCCCCCTAAAACCCTTGACCCATTGGTTATAAGTCACCTTCCTACTAGACCACCCCGTCAACCTAATTGTGTAACACTATTTGCATACCACCCAATTGTATTCAGGGATTCATAGAACACACCATATACATGTTGACATTGAATCAATCTATCAACCAATAAAAAACAACAAGAAGGCCAAAGTTTAGATCAGTAGGACAACCAATTAAAATACACATGGAGGCAATGACAAGACTTTGGCAGAAACAACCAATCACGCAAATAGCCATCAGGGCTACTTGTAGAGACAACCCTATAGTTAACTTCTTTCTGAAGTTTGTGCTGCTGATTAAACGATTAAACCATCCAGCACAGAGAACATATTACCAACAAAATCCTCCAACTGAGCTATAAATATTCTCCACCATATGAAAATTCTACGAGTGTCAAACGCTTGTAATTGTTCGGAAATAGGAGAACTTCCTCCAAGAAGTAGGCTTCAACAAGAGAATATACCACTTAGACGAGCTGGTACCAATTTCTGCATGCCAAAATGACGAATGGGGTCAAACAAAATTGTTTTTACCGAGTGATGATTGAAGGTGAAATGAAAATTTGGACCGCGGACGGATTCGAACCAGTGACAAACGGGTTACCGACCCGGTGCTCTGCCAACTGAATTACGAGGTCGGAACGCTGACATTCTTATTTCACTTCAATCATCATGGGTTTTGCGAAACAACCATGTAAATTCGTGATGCGTTACTACCGCTTGATCGTATTCACCCTGCCTGCCTAGTCAGGACTTTTCATTCCAATCGAAATCTCATAGCTCATTTGGCAGAGCATCGGGAACCCGATGGTTGCTGGTTCGAATCCAACCGCAGTCCAAATTTTCGTTTCATATGCAGTCATCACTCGGTATATACACTAGTCCGCTAAACTACAGATATATCAGATACTCAAAATGATAATCAATATGATGTTCCCCCTTTCTGATTCAGTTAGATTTGGATAAGAAGTCCTGACTAGGCAACCAGTGTGAATACGATCAAGCGGTAGCAACGTGGCACGAATTCACATGGTGATCTGGCAAAAGCCTTAGTGATTGAAGTGAAATGAAAATCTGGTCATCAGTTGGAGGCTTGTTAGGGATGGCTAATTTCTAATAAAACTAACTTATAATATGATTATATTATCACTGTGATGTTTAAGCCATATTTTCGCGCCATGATATGCTGCTTATTTTCATCGCAGTTTAGGATACTAAATGCTGATTGGTCCACTTTACATTTTCAATATGCTATTTTGTTTTCTCTGGCCAAGGCCATCCAAGGGTATAAAAAACGACTGAGTTTTCATCTATCATTATTCGGTTGGAGCAAATAAACTTTTAATCTCATCATCTTCTTCTGGTGTCGGCAGAATATCGAGTTGAGAGGTCATTGTATCGTTACCTATAGCGTTGGGTCGTAAAAAACTTCGTAGCTCAGTTGGTAGAACATCGGTTCGGAAACCCGTTGGTCGCCGGTTCGAATCCGTCCGCGGTCCAAATTTTCATTTCACCTTCAATCCCCACTCACTATAAAATTATATTTATTAATTTTTTTACATAATTAGGTCACCACTAATGTATGCCAAAACTGCATTCCTATAAGAGAGTTTCGTATTCACGTTATTAACTGGTTAACGACATTGGATGATGGTCGTAAATAAACGGAAGTGGCGAAGTGTGGGTCCTTGAATTCTGAATGGCGAGACATTAAAGTACTGCACTCGGTCCTAAGCGAGGTCAAAGGTTGTATACCGCCGATGAGTTTCATACTAAGACGAAACATCTGTCTAATGCTTGGAGGTTTTCAATGGTTCTTCAACCGACGTCACTCAGTGATGAATGCCACGTTGAAATCAATCAATCCCTATAAACCTGCATATTGAATATCTTATAGTAATAATAGTAATGTGATAGAGTGGAGTTTGAACTCAAGAGACAGTAAACAAGGTGCCTAAACCGCTGAGTCACAACCTCACAAACAAGTACAGATTACAGATTACTGATCACATTTTGAACTGAACTATTAGACAAAACGGAAAATTTCAATTGTCAACTGACGATTGGAAATTGATGTTACTTTCCATTGTTAAAAAGTGGAGCTGTGCTCGAGTGGTGTCCATCAAGGGTACCAACTCTCCATTCCTATTCAATTTTATCATAGATATTCTTATGGAGGTCTTCCCTCTCGTCATCTGACTACATAAAGGTTGACCTAATGGCAGGAGAATTTTCGCTAGACCTAGAATACGCAGATGACATAGTCATGTCAGGTTAAGACGCTGAAAAGATGCAGAGTTTCCTGGACATTTTGAGTGGCAATTTGAGAATGTTTGTGATGCGCTTTTCACCGCTTAAATGCAAACTGTTGCTCCAGGACTGGTCTTCAATGGTGCCTCGGATAACAATACACAGTGCAGTTGCTTGGAAAGTGAAGTAGGATCAGTCCTACCCTGGTGGATCAGAGGCCGATGAAATCTCTCCACAAATACAAAAGGCTCGATTGACTTTTACCAAATCATATCATCTGTGGAGCTACCGTGATATCCGATTGTCTATATTAAGGGTCGCATGTACTGCACAGCAGTCCAATCTGTTCTACTGTACAGCTATGAAACATGACCATTGAAGGTGTAAGATATGATAAGGCTGGCTTCAGGTGTTTGACCAGCATTGGTTTCATAGTATAGGCCTCATTCCGTGGTGTCACCACGTGAGTAACGCAGAAGTCAGGTGTAGAGTTTTACCGAGAAGAGGTAAGTCAGTTGACAAGGTTGTAAACCTTCATCAACTGAGATGTGTTACGTGTGCCTAGTCGCTGACCGCCTCGTCACACAATGTTGGCCAAAGTAGGTCCAGGTTGGAGAAAGGCTCTTGGCTCTTGCCTAGACTAAAACATGGCATCAATGTATGAAGTGTTCGACTGTTGGTTTGAGCCATGTGGAGCGATGCAGACTAGGTGGTTGGGGGTCTGTGGGACAAGAGAAACCAGTGGTTGGATGTATCCTCACACACATTATCCTTACCGACGCTATACTGAATCTCACTCGCGTTGATCTACCTCAATAATTAAAACAAATAATAATAGTAATAAATGTAAATCAACTCACTTTAAACACTTTTTCAACCATGGAATTAGACGACTTTGAAGAAGCCATCCCCATAAACCATGTTGACGATTTCGTTCTATTTGTCGATATCTTCGAGTACGTTGATGATGTTTCGATTTTGATGGATTAATAATTAGTTTATTAGGTGAATTAACTATTGCTTCTTGTTCTTCTTCTTCAACAATAAATATCATTGCTGATAAAATTAATCGTAATGAATAAATCACATCGAGATTAATTGTTATACTGGATAATTTCACTTGATTATTATTATTATTATTATTATTATCCTTTATTGTATAATCACGGGATATATTTAAACAAGCATCAACTAGTTGAAGACATAAACATCGAATATCATATGTATGTTGTGATAATGTAAAATTATAAATTTCCGTTGATATTGAAAATTTTGATATTTTCATTGGTAATAAACCATTTTCACGAAGTCTACAATAAACATTTTTATTATCAAAATAAATATTATCTATTGTATCATTTTTCTCTTTATCTATACAGTATTGATTATTTCGATATTCTCTTATTTCTTGCCAAATTAATAAAGTTTGTAATGTAACAGTTATATAACATAATGAAAAATGATTAACATCCTCTTGTAATTGTTCATTATTATCCCATATATTAGGATAACTAATTGAACAACTCTCTAATATATAAGGTAATAAAGATAATGTAAAATTTATTTTTTTATATGATCTTTGAAAGATATAAGTAATATATTCAGCTAGAAATAATCTAGACCATTTTCTTCTTTCAATACTATTATCAATAGATAATAATTTAAAAACAATACCACAACTAATAAAATATTGTGATATAGTAATAAACTTATTTGATATATTCATTAACCAATCAGTACATTGATAATAATAATAATAATAATCATTATCATTATGGGAGATATGTTGATTAGTATTATGTAAAATAGCATAATATAAAGTAATAAAATTTTCACTAATTGGCTTTAATACTAAACGGTTTGAATAAGGCAAACGAATTAAAATTGTACTAATCCCAGATAAAATAATCTGAAGTCCTATACTAGTCTGCTTTAATTCATCAATTAAATCCATAGGTGGTAATAATTGATTGACAACTAAATTACTATTATTATTATTATTATTATTATTATTATTATTATTATTATTAGTAGTAGTAGTAGTAGTAGTAGTAGTAGTAGTAGTAGTATGTGATAATAAGAATTTTATACATTTCTCTTTTAATTCATCTTCTTTCAAAGTATTTACACTTTGTATAGATGAACAATAATCAGAAACTATCATCAACATTCCTTCATTGAGTATATCAACTTTTTCAGTATCACTACTATGAACCGATTCTTCTCTATGTATTATTGGACTTTCAGGTGTATTCAATACTATTGTCTTATGAAGTGAAACATTAAAATTATTATATTGTTTAATGATAAGATTTGAAATTTCATTTAGTATACTTGATGATGATAAATAATTACACCATTGTAAAATAGATGACGAATATTTATTTGTTAATAAGGAGAATAATTCAATATTCAATTTATTTATTGATATATTCAAGTGTGAAGTATGTTTATCTGTGAATGAATAATTATTTAATATAGAATTTGTTTTAATTTGTTCATTTTCTGAATAACTTGTTTGTTTTTCTTTCATAGAATTTCGTATATTATTGACTTCTTCAGGTGAATTATTAGAAATAGTATCATTCAAATGAATAGATAGTGTAGTATGTGTAGAATCTGTAATATGAGAAATATTTTTTAATCTACTTCGAGTAATCATTTTATGAGATTGTTTCGATGTCTTAGACATCTGTGAGTCTGGTGTGTTTACAACTTCTTCACTGTATATATCACTGATTTCAGTAGTATCTTAAAAATAAATGGAAAAAAAAAGAAAGGGAATAGCATATTATATAAATACACACAAAAAAAAACTATATAAATATAAAAAGTTACGCGAAATTGGATTAGACTGCAAGTGGATTCAATCCATGACTATTGGTATAAACGATTTGGCGAGATGTAGACTGTATGATTCAGGTCCTGGGAATGAAAAGAATTAGTAGTAGAGGATACTTGATGGAATGGCTGAAAATCGGTCACAATACGATAGATGTATTCACTTCTTGTGTGCAGATCTACTGCACTCAGGCATAAAGAACAAGATCTAGACTTTCAATACCAATCCAGTCAAGTCAATTTTTCTGCGTGATGGTTCAGAAATTTGGCGTATCACGAAAACCATTTCCAACAAACCGCACACATACATCACATCAACATATGCTGCCTAATCTCACTCAATACTGACACTGAAGATCAGATGGCCACAATAATAAGAATAAGCTGGCTGACAACGAACCAACCGACCAATAGCCCATCGCCCAACACGTATACAGAAGAAACTGCAGATGGATTGGGCATACACTGAGAAGATCGACTGGGGACATCACGTGCCAGGCCAGGCCCTCGAGTGGAATGTAAACGGGAAATGACGAGTTAGGCGTCCGAGGTGAGGGTGACATGGAGGAGATGGTGTGAGGAAGAAATGAAAGCTTGTGGGCAGTCATGGCGCCACGTTCAAAAGACTGTAGAGAAGAAAGTACAGTGGAGGCATGCTACTGAGGCCCTATATTCCACTAGGAACCCAAGGGTAGAATAATAATGATAATAATTCATTCCTTGACGCACAACTTTTTCTACTTTGATATAACTTCTTTTCTATCCACCTTTTCTTCGTATACTACTGCGAGGTGTGGCAACCTGAGCTAGTGCACTCGTGTATAAGGTTCTACGTTGATTTTGTCAGTCAGTCAGTAGTAAACGCAGGCAGTACAAAAGATTTACCAGGATAATTGAGACAATTAAGAAAGGCATAGTATGCTCAGCTTGAATGTCACTGGAGAGTAACCGATTTCACGCTGCCTAGTCCTCAGTGCTGACTGAATCCTGTCAATTATCTTGTAATATAGTAAAATAGTAATATCTCTGACTGCAACAGTGAGTGACACAATTATGAATCTTCGCGGGGGGTATTAGTACCATCGAGGTAATAGATATGCCTTGCTGTTAACTTCCAGTAAGCGAAAAATCTACGTGAAACAGGATGTCCCTACCGATTGCCTCTAACAACCATCTCACGCATACACAATTCAGTAAACAAAACAATTAGGGTATAAATAAAGATTAAAATAGGCTTACTTTTTTTTGGAATACTCAGCGTAGACGTCTCAGAATCAAGTAGACGCATTGGTGACTGATGATTATTATCTAGACACATTGACTGTAAGTTTGTACTCGTATTTTCAGTTAACTGCATATCTGCTACTACACAAGAATTAGAGTCATTGATAAATGTTTCGTGAAAATTACAGGAACTAGTGTTCATTGGTTCAACATCAAGGCCCGTTGATGCAGAGGAGATACAAGTTGTAGGATTCAATTCATCCAATAGGGATTTCATAATTTCACTGTGATCTTTACTCATATTTGTACGAGAGTGTGATGAATCTCCAGGATTATAATTATTATCATTATCTGTATGGGCAACATTACCATCGTCCTCATCATCATCAGAAGATAAATCAGGGAATTTCAGACTGCCTGAACACGACTTACCCAGTTCATTTTCACTTGATGAAGACTGTGACATTACTAAGTACAATAAAGAGTAAAGTAAACAAAATACAATGAAGAATGTTAAGCAGTTACGCAATATGAGATAAGTTAGTAAACTTTTACGCTATTCTGTACTGACTGATAGACTGACAAAAAGCTTTAGAGGATCTCAAGTAATGAAATACATCTGCCCTATTGTGACCGATTTTCAGCCATGTTACCAAGAGTCCTCTCAATCAGTGGTTCCTTTCGTCTTGTGGACCCCAGCAAGTCATTCTACACATCTCCACACAGCTCAAGTCAACAGTCAGAGACTGCATGGACTGGTGTCACGTCTTCATCTGGTCACCCTAAACCCTCTTCCATCTTAATCCAAAAACTTCCCTTGACATGGCAAGTCGAGGTAGGCAGTGGTTCGACATGCGTAGTATATCTCCGAGGCATCTCAAATCAACCAACGTTCACAACCTTGTCAATCAACTTATCTACCTCACCTACTATCTTTTGTCTGACTCAACACTGATCACACGATAATCCCACCAAACGCGACCAATGTTAAGAAAAACCTGTAATTAAAACCCTGTAACTGTTTCATGTCTTCTACTTTTAACGGCCATGTCTCATAGCTGCACAACATGACAATGGACTGCAGCAGCGAAGTATACTCGTCTTTTGGTAGATAGTCAGATATTTCGCTGACGCCTTAGGTGACGCAACTTAGCAAATGACAAACGAGCCTTACACATCCGAAGTGAAATTTCGTCAGCAATCAGCCCACTAGAGCTGATGCAACTCTCCAGGCAAGTGAAGTGGTCGATACATTACACCACTTCACCCCCTATCATTAAGCTGACCAGGTGCCAGTGAAACGCATGCCAAACATACTCAGATTTCTCCTCAACACATTCAGAAGACCCTGCATTTCGTCAGTATCTTCACCTAGTAGGACAATATCGTCTGGATATTCCAAACTAACTAGGTGATCTGCAGAGAGTAGGTCAATCCCCTGTGAAGTCAGATATACCTAAGGTTATACGCATTAGGAACGGTGTCAGTGGACATCCGTGCCGGACACCACTAGTTGTCACCAATTCTGATGATAATTCTCCATAGGCCTTTACACAGCTGCGTAAGGTCGAGTGAAGAACTTTGATAAGCACCATATACTTGCGCGATACTCCATTTACAGTTAGACACTGCTACAACACATCACAGTCAACAGAGTCAAATGCCGCCCTCAAGTCAAGAAATATGACAAATGTCGGCTGCTGGTAGGTGTACCTTTGTTCGACGTGTTGGAAGGTAGAAATCTGATCGATGCACCCTCGACTAGGTCTGAAATCTGCCTGGTTTTCTCGAGTTCGCTATTCTCGAGCTCCCGTTAGGCGTTGCATAACTATGAACCCCAGTATCCTGTAATTGATTGCTCATTCATTTACTGTACAATTTAAATGTTTCAAAACTACTTATTTCTGTCTACTGCAAATTATTAAGAGCTGTAGTTCAATGGTTTAGGGTGATGAATATCAAGTATTAGATAACGGGTTCGACCACCACTCCATCTACCAAGGTTTGGACTAGCCTTCATGAAATAGGTGTGACTTACTCCCTACTGCACGGATATCTACAAGGTAACTGAGTACGTTTCATCTGCCCGTTTTTGCTCTCCTTCAACCCACATGAATCCAAGGATTTTGGACTGCTTATTATCTTAATTTATACAGACAGAAATTACAAATTAGGACGATATAACATGTTAAGTACGAGTACACCAAGTATTTATGCATTAAAAATTATCTTACTTACATTAAGACAAGCTGTCAACTAATAAATCTGATAGATTATTAGCTTAAAGTGGACAGCGATTACGATATAAAGGCTGTAGAGCTATGGCTTATAGGTTTAGACAGTTGATTTTCAACCAGTGGGTCATGGGTCTGAATACCACCACAAAAATCGACGTCTTAGCAGCCTTCACATAGTTGGTGTAGCTCATTGTCTACTGGGTTAATTTAACGGTTACCTTAGAAAAGATAGACTTCAAGTTGAATTCAATGGAATGCTTTAAAACAGATCGAAACTGACTCTCACTGATTACATAATCTTGCTAAAGTATAGAAAAGTCAATAACTGAAATCTATCACTCAGCGAAAAAGTACAAGTGCAGTAAAGAGACTTGTTTATACTAGCCTTTCGTATGGAATTAAGTTAAAGGTGTAAGCTGATTGGACAAAAAGACATCCGATAATTTCCAAGCTTATTCTTATTCACTGTGCAAACTTGGAAAATAAGACAGAAAATAATGAGTTTCGATGTGGACTCAGGTTCATGGAGTGGGCAAGGAGCTACACCTATTGTGTCAGAGACCACACAACAGTAGAAGGAGAAGTGTTTGTATCCATGACGTACTGATTACAAGTCAACTGTCTAAGCCAATAAGCAAGAACTCGATTGTGGACTCATAACTGGGGAACAGACGGCAGAAATGTAGTCACCTGACTTACGCAATTGATTTTCAACTAATGTGTCAGAGATTCGAATCCCATTCTTCCTAGGAAGGTTAAGTTAGTTCGGTAAAGTTAGTAACAGTAACTGAAAGCCGGTAAAGCAGCAGAACCAGATGGAGTTCCTCCTAAATCACTGAAAACAGATGCAGAGACAACAGTGGACATGCGCACATCACTATAACGGAAGATTTGGAAGGAAGAAAAGCTACCTGTAGATTGGAAGGGTTACCTGGTCAAACACCCAAAGAAGGGTGATCTAAGTCCTTGCAAGAACTGGCGAACAATCATGTTCCTGTCCACACCAAGCATTAAAACTAGTAAATGCGTTGGATTCAAAACTACGACCACAGCAGGCCACCTGGCTGGCTGGCTACCTGGTTGGTTGCTTGGATTCACGAAAAACAAATCATCTGCACATCAAACTACAACGCTACACTACATATCATCATCATCATCATCACCATCACACAACACAGCATAGAATACCAGTCAACTCTATACCTCAACTTCACCAACTTTCAAAAGGTACTCGATAGCATCCATCGACAAGTAATTTGACAGCCACCTGCTTCAACACTACAGTCTCAATGCCACAAACAAACATCAACATCATTCAACAACTACATCAGGATGATGCTACACAACAAGTGATTCACAATCGAAAGCTCAGTGATCCCTTTCAACTGAACTGAACTCAACTCAACTGAAGCGAAGTGAAGTGAAGACAGGAGTAGGACAAGGTTGCCATCTACTATCACCCATCATCTTCCTCATTGTGGTCGACTGCATTGCACTACACTACACTACACTACACTGGATCATGTAACAAACTGTGAGGAGCTATGAGGAGATGGACATACGCTGTTTGACAGATGAAAAGACCTCACAACAACATTTGGATTTCACCACCGATGATGATTTATGCCTAATCTCATGTCACACAAACTCCAACATCTACAGGCGAAAACTAACAAGTTGACAGATGAGGCAGGGCAGCGAAGATGGGACTCCCCTCAGGTTAACGTAGAGAAGACAGAGGTGACAGATGAAGATACCCAACCAACAACAACAAGCAATAATCACCATCAACGCGAGAAACATAAAGGAAGTTGTCTCGTTCATCTACCTGCTCAGGTACAATCGTTTGAACTGCAGGAGGTGGCACAGATGAGGGTGTCAAAGACAGGGTCGGAAAGACACCAAGATAGGCCTTCATGCATCAATTTGAAATCAGTGTGCAGATGTACTGCACTGCACTCAGCTCAGCATAAAGCGTGAACAACATCCGGGTTTTCAACAGTAATGTCAGTCAAGTCAGTGCCTCTATGTGATGGTGCAGAAACTTGGCGTGTCACGAAAACCATTTCCAACAAACTGCACACATACATCACATCAACAACTGCTGCCTACTCTCACTCAATACTGACACTGAAGATCAGATGGCCACAATAATAAGAATAAGCAACAAGGAACTCTAGGTGGCTGGCAACGAACCAACCAACCAACAAATATACAGAAGGAACTGGAGATGGATTGAATTGGATTGGATATACACTGAGAAGACCGTTTTGGGACATCACGGGCCAGGTCAGGCCCTCGAGTGGAACCCAAAGGGGAAACGACGAGTCGAGCGTTTGAGTCGAGGGTAACATGAAGGAGATGGTGTGAGGAAGAAATGAAAGCTTGTGGGTAATCGTGACAAGACTAGAGAAGAGAGTGAAATGGCAACGTGCTACTGAAGCCTTATGTTCCACCAGGAACCCAAAAGACAAGTAATAAAGTAACCATCATCGTCTAATGCATGTGACTGGTAAGTAACTTAACTAATTAAGGTTAGCGATATTGTATTCAAGGTAACAGATATAACTCTACTCACCTTCTACTTTGTCTTCTTCACAAAAGGATTCATTTTTCAGCATACTAACAGTTTTCAATTTATGATCATCTTGAGGTTGATCCAAATCCACTTCAAATGAGTTGATTAACCGTTTGTCTACATCATTTACACGGTTTTGATGAAGGTGATTACTAACATTAGAAATTTGTTTCGTAGAACTTTTAACATTTGATAACTTCAAGTCTATTTGTGAACTATTCTCATCTGTCTCTATTGAATTCTTCTTAGATAATTTATTATTAGAAATAGTTGTGAATTTTGAACTTTTTCTTTTCAATGTATGACATACTTTTAAAGTGGATTCATATTCAGTGAATTGATTTAACTCCATAATAACATGATCAGGTATTTGAATAGAAAGTAATTTACTTATACGTACCATACATTGAATGTTTAACACTGAATTTAAAGATTTTAACTGATCTAAATCATAATTTTTTTGTAATAAACACCAAACAGGTTCACATAATACCTGAAATTCTGTTTTTATTGAATCAATAAGCCGAGAATGAAAAACTTCCTAGTGTATAAAATGGTAGAAAAAGGAAAGAAATTTGAAAATGTATGAATAGAAAACTAAAACAGTTTAACTAAGATAATCATCATCATTATCAACATAGGACCAGGCCTTACTGCGTAACGGTCCGAGTTGCCACACCTCATATCACCACATCAAGTAAAAAGGTAGTGAGGTGAAGGATGAAGATAAGTGAATGCAGTCAAAAGAAATATAAAGTACGAGAAGAAAGGAAAGAGGAGTGACAAAATGGTGAGATTCGGTATAGCGTTGTTAAGATGAGGATAATGTGTGTATACATCTGCGCCACTGACTTCGGTTCTCAGCCATATCATCTAGGGTCTCCAACCACTGGTTCCTCTTGTCCCGTGGACCCCAACCACCTAGTCTGCATCGTCCTACATGACTTAAACCAACAGTCACAGACTTCATACATTGGTGCCATGTTTTAGTCTGGCCACCTCGGGCCTTTTTCCAGCCTGGACCCACCTACTTCGGCCAACATTGTGTGACGAGGCAATCGGTGACTAGGCATACGTAGTACGTGTCCCAACCATCTCAGTCGATGAAGGTTCACCACCGTGTCAACTGACTTACCTCTTCTCCCCAAAACTCTACACCTAACTTCTGCATTACTCATATGGTGACACCACGGAATACGTCCTATACTACGAAGGCAACGGTGGTCAAACACCTGAAGCCTTTTTGTATCCTCCACTTTCAATGGCCATGTTTCACAGCCATACATAGCCATTGAAAGTGTAATGAATATGATCTTCTTTTTTTTCAAGTAACAAGTGTTATCACGTCTATGAACTATACACTAAGAGTACAGGCATCTTAATTAAATGATGATACACTGTTACATTTGCCACATCTCATATGAACAACATCAAGTAAGAATCCGCCAAGGTGAAAAGATAAGGGAATAAAGAAGAAAGTATAGTAATGATGGATAGTGGCTAGCAGTAGAATCTAGGATGCGTATTTCCTCCCATTTGGGACTCGTTAGAGACCGACTAATTCGATCCAATCAACGAAGGTATAATATGCCTAATAACACTATAGGAAGAAAGTAGTCAAGATGATAGAAAGTTGTGTAAATAGAACAAGAAGGAATAAAAACAATGAGGAAATTCAGCACAGCGATAAAGATGACGATAGTGTGTGGATGCATATGCACCAATGAGGATGATTCTGAGCAATATCGTCAAGTCTTCAAAAGCTGATTTCAGCTGTCACGTGAGTAGAAACCAGAATGTTTAGATGAACTGATGTCATATTTTAACGATGACTAGACATATATGATGCATTTCCCAGCCACCTCAGTCAATGAAGGTTCGAAACCTCGCCAACAGAATTTCCCCTTCTACTTAAAACGCAACTGATGTGGTGACACTAGGACACAGAGAGTATAACGCAAAGGCAACAGTGACCAAACATCTGAGAAATTCCCAATACCTCTACTTCTAATGGCCATATTATACAGGAATATATTGGAACGAAGTGAACTGAAGCACAGTGCATAAATGGGGTACGTAGGCGAAGGCTACTCTGTGTAGAGGTTTTAGTCTTCACTGACAAACAAGGGATGATCCGACTTCTCTAGTAAGTGTGATACACACATTCAAGAGACTGTTTCATACGTAACCTGCAGCAGTTGTTAAGCTAAGCGGTCACGAAGAACGGTAAACAAATACCAGAAATGTACTGCTTATCATCAAAATGAAAATTCGAATCAAAATCTTCTTACTCAGCTAGTGCACATTTATGGAGTAGAGAATGAGGAACGCTGATTGTGTGAGGATAAGTGATACTATATGGTTGCCCAAAACCCCTCTAGGTGAGGCGGTATTCGAGTCCGCGATCCACTAGTTAAAAATCAACTCCCTAAACTTAAAAAATACAAATTATTGCTCATAGAACTGATATGATTATAACTCCAGGCAACGTTTATGTGTGTTTACCAATTCACCTGCTTTTGTGGAGCTGGTTACATCGGCCGCAAAAACTGTGTTCTGTCCAAACGCATCCCCGAACCCCATCCACAACGGCTGTGTAAAGGACAGTGTTAAGTCGCCAACACCTCGATTCCTGAGCATTTGGTTATATCTTGTCACAAAACTCTTGAATCGACCACCACCTGCAACTCGGTCAGAAATACCACCAGCAACCGCAGAATTACCAGTGAACACAAGCCCTCTGACAAAAACCAGAAGTCGTGAACACCATAAAGTTGCTGAAACCCGGGAAACCAGAAGAACAAGGTGAAATACCTTGTCAAACACCCAAAGAAGGGTGATCTAAGTCCTTGCAAGAACTGGCGAACAATCATGTTCCTGTCCACTACAAACAAAATAATCAGCCACATCATACTGCAGACACTAATAAATGCTCTGCATTCAAAACTACGACCACAACAAGCTGTCTGGCTGGCTGGCTACCTGGTTGGTTGCTTGGATTCACGAAAAACAAATCATCTGCACATCAAACTACAACGCTACACTACATATCATCATCATCATCATCACCATCACACAACACAGCATAGAATACCAGTCAACTCTATACCTCAACTTCACCAACTTTCAAAAGGTACTCGATAGCATCCATCGACAAGTAATTTGACAGCCACCTGCTTCAACACTACAGTCTCAATGCCACAAACAAACATCAACATCATTCAACAACTACATCAGGATGATGCTACACAACAAGTGATTCACAATCGAAAGCTCAGTGATCCCTTTCAACTGAACTGAACTCAACTCAACTGAAGCGAAGTGAAGTGAAGACAGGAGTAGGACAAGGTTGCCATCTACTATCACCCATCATCTTCCTCATTGTGGTCGACTGCATTGCACTACACTACACTACACTACACTGGATCATGTAACAAACTGTGAGGAGCTATGAGGAGATGGACATACGCTGTTTGACAGATGAAAAGACCTCACAACAACATTTGGATTTCACCACCGATGATGATTTATGCCTAATCTCATGTCACACAAACTCCAACATCTACAGGCGAAAACTAACAAGTTGACAGATGAGGCAGGGCAGCGAAGATGGGACTCCCCTCAGGTTAACGTAGAGAAGACAGAGGTGACAGATGAAGATACCCAACCAACAACAACAAGCAATAATCACCATCAACGCGAGAAACATAAAGGAAGTTGGATTGGATTGGACATACACTGAGAAGACCGTTTGGGGACATCGCGCACCAGGTAAGGTTCTCGAGTGGAACCCAAAGGGGAAATGACAAGTTGGGTGTTCGATGGTGATATGGTGAAGATTGTGTGAGGAAGAAATGAAAGCTTCTGGGCAGTCGTGGAGCCAGGTTGAGAAGACTGTAGAGGAGAGAGTGAAATGGCGACGTGCTACTGAAGCCCTATGTTTCACTAGGAATCCAAGGGACAAATAATCATAATAACAATACTTAACAGGGGACTTCTAGAATGACTGGTATCGATACAGAAGTATAAAATCAGAAAAGTGACTAGCTACTACACTGATCTATAAAGTCGGTCAATGAATGTCGAAAACAGATGTCGGCAACAGATCCAAATGGCTTCCATCATAGCTTCAAGTGCCAGTGAGCTAACGAAATGCTGGTTAGGTGACAGGTATGTTGAAGTATAGAAGCAAAAAAAACTCAGTCAAAAGAAATATAAAGTACTAAGAGAGAGAATGGAAGAATGAGAAAGTGGTGAGATTCGGTATAGCGTTGTTAAGATGAGGATAATGTGTGTGGGGATACATCTGAGCCACTCACATCACTGTTGAGCCATGTGAACGTTTAGAGTCAGTATCCAACCACTGGTTTCTCTTGTCCCATGGACCCCAACCACCTGGTCCGTATCGTCCTGCATGGCTCAAACCAACAGTCAAACACTTCATACATTGATGCCATGTTTTAGTCTAGGAGAGAGCCAAGAGCCTTTCTCCAGCCTGGACCTACTTCGGCCAACATTGTGCGACGAGACAGACGACAACTAGGCACAGGTAACACATGTCCCAACCAGCCATTTCAGTCGATGAAGGTTCACAACCTCGTCAACTGACTGACCTCTTCTCTCCAAAACTCTACACAGCCAACCACTACACTCTGTATTGTTAGCCGTGGCACCGTTGAAGACCAATCCTGGAGCAACAGTTCCCACTTGGGTGGTGAGAAACCTATGCCGAACACACAAATTGCCACTCAAAGCGTTCAGAAGACTCTGCATCTTATCAGCGTCTTAACCTAACATGACTGTCATCTGCGTATTCTAGGTCTAACGAAAATTCTCCTGCGGTTAGGTCAATCTCTGTGTAGTCAGATGATGAGAGGGAGGACCTCCATAAGAATGTCTATGATAGAATTGAATAAGAATGAGGACAGTGGGCATCCTTGACGGACACCACTCGACGAGTACAGTTCCCAGGATATCTCAACATAGCCTCTAACACACCCACAAGTGTTCGAGTAGAGAGCCATGCCTTTCAGTGAGAGACATTGCATTAAGACTTCTCGACTAACGGAGTCGAACGCCGCCTTCAGATCGAAAAATACAACTAGTGTCGGGCGTCGGTAAGCGTATGTATTCCAAAACCTGGCGCAGTAGGAATATTTGGTCGATACACTCACGGTCGGGTTTGAAGCCTGCCTGGTTTTCTCGAGCTTGCTGTTCCCGAGCTTCACTCAGGCGTCGAAGAATTATAGAACCTAGAATTTTAGATACTATGTACTATATACATGTAGTACAAGGTCAGCAGAAGTGGATGATTTATGAAAACTAAAAGGATTTCATCACGATTACCTTCGTAGCACCACTTTCTTTTAGCAGAATCATTGTATGATGCACGGCGTGAATCAGTTGAAGAAGCAGGATTATGTTGGAGAAAGCTAAGTGTATGAAAATCAAGACATGATATTCATCTATCCACGAAGTTTATGCGTGTAGCTTTAAGTTGTGTGGGGAAGTGTAGACTTATCAGTGTGGATTGCAAGAAAAATGAAGCCGATGGTTGTAGATGTATCAACCTTCTATCTTTCTTTGAACCTTGTAAATTCTATGTACTTCTGCAGTTTACTCTTTGTTAACTGATTTTATACTACTACTATAACTACTTTCATATGTTTGACCTCTTGCTTGTTGCTTTCTGTCGAGTTGTGTTTATCTAAACTGTGAAAACCTAGACCGACACTCAATTATAAGAAGACTTGTGCTATTGACATCGGGTGTCTAAGATGAAATGTCGACAAAACGAACAAAAAGTACTCAACTACCCTGTCCACATTCGTCCAGTAGGCATTGGGGTAAACTTATTGTGTATGAGGACTAGTGGTACTACCTAAGTGCCAAACCTCAGTGAGTCGAGCAAGATTCGGACCCGTGTTTCTTTGTTTGAAAATCATCTCACTAATTCGATGAGTAGACTTTTCGTATTTGCTACTTTCTCCTCTTTTCAACTGAATAAGACTTATTTAATACGTGTGACAGAACAATATCGTCAGCAAAGTAAGGAATAAAAACAACTTTGCTGGGTCTCTATCCTGTTTTCTACGAAGTGCTATTTAGTGCCTGATGCGAAGCTCGTAAGAGTCTTCGAGAACAATAACAATGATGATGCAACCTGAAAGCCACATACAATTTTGTGTACACGAGTTGTCAGACACTAGTTGGGTGAGGATGGGAATACCGGGTTAAATGCCTAAACAATGGTAAGTGATATAAAGATTGTATCTATCACTCATTTGGTTGAAAGTGGAACACCTAAAGTTACAAAGCGCAGCCCTACAACTTAGAATTCCAGCAGACTGAAGTGGAAGTTCGTGTGATTGAAAACACGTGTCACACTTCTAAAACAAGCCTGTGGCATTTCCTAGTCAATATGACTGGTTACTCATACAACTACATACAGTGAAATACGAAACTAGACGATATTGTATTTAAAGAGTTATGAAACGACATCATCAAATAACTGCATGGGACCAGGCATTACTACGACAAGGTTCAAGTTGCCCCGCATCATAACAGCACATCAAGCAATGAAGCAATAGGATGAAACATTAAGAATAGAGAAGAATTGGTCGAAAGCAGTGGAGAGTAGTACAAAAGAAGGGAAAGATATCAGAAAATACAGAATTCAGTGAAACAATTAAGATGAAGCTAGTGTGTACATACATCTGTGTCACTGAGGTCGAGATATGCTACCCATAGTCTCCAACCGTGAAAGCTGCATTTCTCCGCACGGTTTATACCAACAATCACAGAACTCCTGTGACGATAACATACTTTAGTTTGACCACACCTGACCATTTTCCCGCCAAAACCTACTTCAGGTAACATTGTGCAACGGGACAGACCACGAATAGGCATAGGTAACACACGTTCCAGTCACCTTAGTTCATGGAGGTTCACAACCGTATCAATCAACTTTCCTCTCCAGCTTAAAACTCCACGGTTTACTTCCGCGTTACTCATATGGTGACATCCAGACACACTGCCAATGCTAAGAAGGCAATGGTGTGGTCAAATACCTGGAGCCTTATCATGCCCTCTACCATAAGTGGCAATGTTTCACAGCCGTGGAGTAGAATAAAGTAAACTGCACTACAGTACATCGGATACTTAGTCGACAATTGAATATAGAAGCGGTATCACAGATGGTGTAAGTTGGCGAAAGTCAATAAAGCCTATTGCATGCGTGCAACGACTTCTTCGGCTAGTTACCTACCTACTAAGGCTGGTTCGACTTCCCAAGTAGGTGAAGTTGGTAAACGCACTCAACCATTTCACTCCTAAAGAAATGTTGTACACTAGTATGATAGGCTACATGAATGATAAGTGCATGATGAAATAAGAAGTGATAAGTGATTTTCAAAACCAAAACCATTATACCAACCATCGAGATATCTTGAGACCCACACTATCATTACGGTAAACACAATACACACGAACTTTTAAGGAAAAGCAGTGTTTCGAACTTAGTTTTCATAACTGAATTCACCAAGAAAGACTTAATGTGACAACAAACTGTTTAAGAACACACAAAGTTGGTTTCAACTTCCTAATAGCTAAGGCCTCAAGAAATTTAACAATCTGTCCCCAACACGCTTTGTGAATAGGTCTTAAGGAAGTAGCCACATCCATCCTGTGACCTGTCTCAAAGATATGTTTCACGATTGAAGAACTTAGACGTCTACCATCAACGTTTATGGGTTTAGGTGATTTAATTTGCTTCTGAATTCACTTTGGAATATATTCCGAGGCTCTTACTTGCATAGATCTATGAGCCCTCTCTCTATGTATGTGTCACCACATGTACATTTGAATTGGTAGATGCAGTGGGATGTGACATTATCGTTCATATGCTGTGGGAGTTTGGGAGAATATACAGACTTGGTGGTTTCTATTAATTGAACCCTGGCTGCATAGTAAGTCCTTCTAACAGCAGCGTTATATCTCTGTTTAAGGATTGCACTATGAGAGCCATCCTTGTAAAGAAGACTAAAAAAGACATCCTTTTTTGGGACAGACTGAAGATCTGATTTTGGCGCTCCGATTATTTTGTGCTGCCTAATAAATTATTTTCCAGCAGTATTTCAGTCAGTATTCCTCTTTCGTCTTCCAAAGTATCCTCTGTGTATATTCGTTGAATTCTACTAAACAACCACCTAACTAACGCTCGCTTGTATTGAACTGGACAAAAGCTATGATCGTTCAAATAATGCCCTACCAACCATGTAGGTTTTCTGTAGATAGATCGTCTGATGGATCTATCCTGCCGCCAACTAATTAATATATCTAAGAATGGTAAGCAGTCAACTTCCTCTTCTATACATGTCAAGGATATGCTGTTTTGTACTTCATTCAATCAGTTTAGAATTGAAGTAGACTGAATTGAGTTTTCACAAATGATAAGGATATTGTCAACATATCCTAGACACAGATGGGTTTGGTCTATTAAGTTTTCAGCTAAGTTTTCCACGTGTGATATAGATATATCAGCTAAGAGGGAACCTAAAGGACTTCCTACGGTTTAGACAATTTACCTCTTCTTATTGTTTTGTCGAAATTTATAAAGGGAACTAATCGTTTTAAAAAGCAGTATTCCAAGTTTTTAATACACTTTTAGAACAAGGTATTGCCTTATCTACTTATCTGAAACTTAAGTATTTAAAAACTAGCCAAAATTTTGGTTTAATTATTCAACATACAAAAATAGGCTCAAGTGATGAGTTTCATGCAGCAAATAGGTGTGATTTAAGACTAACTTATTATTACGCAACATAATATTACCTAGCGAAAACTGTAAAAGCCCATATGCTCACCTTTTCAAGCATTCCTCTCATTGTTTCTCGCAATTTTTTAATCTCAGCTTTAAGTGACTCAGATAATCTAATACGACGTTCAACTTCTCTTCGTAATTGAATGATTGCATCTTGATGAGGTGAATCGCATGACTGACCAATTTCAGAATGACCAACCATAGCTATCATTGTTGTAGCCGTTGTGTCAATCTCATCGAAATCATCTCGATAGATGAGAGTATGTGGAGTGCTAGTCATAGGACTGCTAGCAGAAGGACGTTGAGTTTTTACTGATGCTAATCGTGAACGTGCAATTGCAGCTTCTTTACGAACACGAGTTAGCTCATCACGTAAATCATCTCGCAGGCGATTACCCTCATTAATGATACTTTGATAATGAGAAACAGTATCCTATAAGAAGAAAAATTAAAACAATTCAAATATATTTAGCGAACTAACCGATAAAGTAGATACTTCAGATTTTTAAAAAGGGTTCCATAAGAACTGAGTCAAATTTCAAAAAGCGAATACCTTCAGAATGATACCAAAATGTCATTTATTATGACGAATACCCTAAGATATTCTGCAGTGCTAAGTTCCAAGTCATATTGATAACTAAAACAATGATTCTATCTAACTGCTCAAATTTCTGTAGAAGTGCAGTTAGAATAACAGATCCGAATTGAAATTCACCCAGAAACTATATGTACATCGATGCGGCAAGTAATGAGTTACACCTATTGTTTGAGGGCTAATGATACTACCCGCCTGCCGAAACCTCAGTAGGTAGATCGGGGTTCAAATCTTACCCATTGGTTGAAAGTCAACTCCCAAAACCAATGAGCGACAGGTTCACAATAAAAGACTCCCTAGGTAAAAATCAAATATCTAAATTGTTGAGCTGAATGTCTACACACTTGCATACTTTATCAAAGCAGAAACTGATCTATTATAAATTTTGAATAAAACTGCACACTTAAGATCAGATCAAGATCAATATAGAACTAGGCATTACTACGTAACGGTCCAAGTTGCCACACCTCATATCAGTGCATCAATTAAACAAGGTAATAAAATAGAAGACGAAGAAGGAAAAAAAATCCGTCAAAGGAAGTAGAAGGTAGCAAAGGAGAGGAAGGAGGACAGAAAACGATAAGACTAAATATGTATACATCTGGGCCACTGACCTCGGTTCTGAGCCACGTCTCCTAGAGTCTCCAACCACTGGTTTCTCTTGTCACACAGACCCCAAATGGCTAGTCTGCATCATCCTACACGGCTCAAACCAACAGTCAAGGACTTCATGCATTGATGTCATATTTTAGTCTGGTCACCTCGAGCCTTTTTCCAATCTGAATCCACTTTGACCAATATTGTGGGAAGAGGCATACGCAACACATGTCCCAACCAGCCATCCCAGTTGATGAAGGTTCACAACCACATCAACTGTCTTAACTCTTCTGTCCAAAACTCTACGTCTGACTTCTAAGTTACTCTCGTAGTGACACCAGGAGACACGGCCTATGCTACGAAGGTAGTAGTGGTAAAACACCTGAATGAATTTCGAGGGAATTTTTTGCCTAGGGACTATATTAAAGACATTAGTCATTGGAGATATCAACATGCATGCGCCTTAACGTATCCACTTTGCCCTTGACCTGGGAAGTTAAATTTGAAAGCTGGCAAGAAACGTTTTGAAATCAAAAATTGAATGTCTACCCAGTTTGTCTTAGAGAAATGAAACTTGAAAGGCGTATACAGATAGATATCTAGACAGTAGCGACGGTGAAGCAATGATATAAACTCTATGACTATGAAACAATATATTTTTACGTATATTTCTAATCTTCTGTGTGATAAAGGCTTTCAATTGAAAACAAAAACTGAAAATGACGGAATACAAGAAACCTACTTTGGTCATTTCCAATTCCCTTCGGAGTTGTTCTGCTTCAAGCTTGTGGCGAAGACCAGCTTGAAGTTGGGCTCGCATGCCCATACACGAACTCCGTAGACGAACCAACTGACTTTCAGCTCTTTTAGCACGCAGTAATGCCCAGTCTCGTTCAATGTTGGAAGTATTTTGATTTATTTGATCACGTAGCATTGAGTGTTGACCATTGGTTAAATTACTGTAAGGTTGAACAGCTCCATCGTCATTGGATCTAGCATTGATTTCAGTAATTGTAGGTGGAAGATCATTTTGCCTTTGAATAAACCATGTTTTGAATATAAGCACTGCATCAAGGAGGTTCGAACAATGATTTGCAACGCGGCGGCAACTTGCCTGAAAAAGAAAACGATTACTGAGTTAACTGGCACACACACGTATAGATCTACTCGACAATGAGGTTATTTACTACGATTTTACTCTAGGAATCAAGAATTCATTGGGACTTTGAGTCTGTAGTCATTTCAACTTTTAGTGAATGCAGAGTGAAATGGACTAAAACCTTGTCCCACCTTAGAATATTACTCAGAGAAAAAATGATATTCTGGGAAAATGAATGTTTACAAGATGAGAGAGAATAATAAAACAGAGGTCAAGAAAATATTGAAAATTTTGAAAATAAGAAGTGAATACAACCACACTACTGTGATCGATTTTCAGCCATACCACAGATAGTTTTTCACCTATCTTGAGGACTCCAGTCAAACAACCTACACTCTTATATACAGCTCAGAGTTAGACATTTTGTGCACTGGTGACATGTCATATTTCAGCCAATCTCAGTTTATTTTTGACTCCGCTCTACTTCATTTTAAATTATTTATTGAGGAAGACGATGGGTCGGCATGCATAACATTTCCTAGCCGCTCAAGCCGGAAAAGGCTTGCAACCTCATCGACTGGCCTCACTTTTGTAGTGCTTCATACCTAGCTTGAAGACTTCGTTGTGGTTTCACCACATACAATCAATAGTATCAATATACCTGTGGTGCTCACTTGTCCAGGGATCGGCTGAAGTAAGCGGAAAGGTGGTCAGTATATAATGTGGTACCGTAGGGTGAAAGACCGTTGCGTTGAGTTAGCATCTACAGGTACTTCACAACTCCCTGGATAGGCTTTGAAAGGTGATGCAACTCACTGGCTTTGAACAATAGCAGACAGACATCCTAACCGAAAGTAGTGGAGATCACACTGGTTTTCTCGTATCTTCAATTACTGCAAAGTAAAACGAAGGTAGTAAATGCTTCTTGTGTATATTATTGAGATTGATTCTTTCAAGACCCATTTCTATTTTTGCTTCTATTCTCTCTTCAACTTTCCATCTTGCACAGCGGATATCTTGGTTCTCATGTTGTACCAAGTTTGTTTCAATTAAAATATTGCGTCTACTGGAGCCTGTTGGTGGGTGAAAATCTCATCTGAAAATTGTCTTCCAAATAAGAAACGTACTCAGTTTTATTCTTAAAGCTAGATCATATATTCACCGTTTGAGTAGAGATGATACTACATTAGTTGAACTGATTTTCGTGTGATTATCACAAGATTTTCCTTCTTTCCTACATATTGAAGTGATTATTGATCTAAACAGATCTTCTGGATGTACCTTAGAATCTCATAAAGTAGCAAGTCACTCAACTATTCTAAACAGCAATCTTTGAGGCAAAGAACTTTCTTTTTGAAATTAATGATGGATAGTGACTAGGAGTGAGATCCAGGATGCGCATTTCGTCAGCTGGATATACCTGCCTCCCAATGACTGATGTTATTCCCATTGAGAATCAGACACAGAACCAATCACTTTAAACACCAAGGTGTTACCCACCAGGTCACTGAATCAGTAGCTTTGAAACACTACGTCAGATTAACTGTCACTTTCCTCTTCTGATTACTTTCGATTCCGTCTCTATCCAGTTACCCAGGTCAGAGTGAGTGAGGCGGGATTTGAACAATAGGTTCAATTGCTTAGAAATCCCTAAATTACGCTAGTGAACCGCGAAATCCAGACACACGTGTGCATCGCTACTCAGTGTTCGATAACTGGAGATTGAAAAAACATCGAGATTCACTCAGTGACTACGTGCACGTTTGTGTAGTAAGTAATGAGTCACAGGTATTGTGTCAGGGCTAATGAAACTGCCTGGTAGCCCATATCTTGACAGGTGTAGTCGGATTCGCACCTTTGGCTCATCAGGTGGAAGTCGAATGTCTATACCAATGAGCCACTGGCATCAGTAGGTGATAATATTAGAAATAATGCAGATGACAGTTGCTATTCACAGCTGGATCCTACTAGAGCATAATTCAGCAACCTTGTTTTTGTATTAGATCATAAGTTTTAGGTAGTGTGATAGATACAGATAATGTAGTATCGTCCATTCAGTTTATTGGCACTATATCACCTCATATCAACATCAGACTTATACAGTAATGTGTAGTCGCATTATATCCTAATTTAAGTCGCTGTCAATGAATTACTGATGCAGTCACCTGGTTCATTAAACAGAGTTAATAAAAGTGGTTTATTTGACGGAAGATATCAACAGTGGCATATAATTAGCTTTGGTTAATGATCTAAACAGACAATATTTTCGCAGGCAACACAGTTTCATCAACCAAGACAAACCAGTTACTCTTTAACAGTATAGAGTTGTGGCTTATTGGTTTAGAGAGTTGACTTTCAAACAGTGGGTTACGGGTTCAAGCCTCGCTCTACCTACCGAAATTTGAGAAGCCATGTAGCATTATTAGCCTTTACACAATAGATGTGGCTCATGACCGATTGTGTAGATGTGCACAAGGTGGCTGAGCGCATTTCACTAAAAGATAGGAAAATAATCAAATTTGGTATGACGAATAAAATGAAGATAATATGTGGATGTGTCTGAGCTACATCACTCGCAGCCTCCAACTACCAACTTTGGTTGTCATGTTGATCCAACCGCGAAAGCTACATTTCCCTACACGGTTTAAATCAACAGCCAAAGACTTCACACAATGACGATACGTTTTAGTCTGCCCACCCCTGGCCGTTTTCCTACCCAAACCTACTTCAAGTAACACTGTGCGACGGAACAGATGGTGACTAGGCACATGTAACAGATCACAGCCACCTCAGCCGATAAATGCTCACTTTATCGACCGAATTTTTCCTCAGAGCTCTATACCTGACTTCTACACTACTGACGGTGACACCACGACACAGTCCATGGTACTAAGGTAATAAAGGTCGAACACCTGAAGTTTTTTAATGTTCACCACCTTCAATGGCCATGTTTCACAGGCGTAGAGAAGAATAGAATGAACTGCAGCGCAGTACACTTGACCCTTAAAAGACGATCGGATATCGCAGCCATGCTAAACGTGGAGTAAGTTGGAGACAACCCAACGAGCCCTTTGTATCAGTGCAGAGATTTAGGCGATCACTGACAAACAAGGGGTGATTCAACTTCGCTAATAAGTGTGATGCATCTTACAAATCAATCTAAATGGAATCATACTTCACTTTTTAATGTTAGACAAGATACCAAAGCATATCAATTCTGGAGAAACAGTTGGCATTTCAGTGATAAGTTCATCCCTAACATTCTCAAATTTCCACTTAATGTGCCCAGTAGACTGTATATTGTCAGCACTTTCACTTGACAAAACTTATTTGAATAGTTTAGCTCTACTAAGATCTCCTGCGACAAAGTAAAACCCTAAACCATCAGCGTCAAGAGAGATCTCCATAAGTATATCTATGAAAGAACTAAGTAAGAAAAGAGAGAATAGACATCTCTGACACAACTCGCCGGATAACTGGTACATTCGCCAGCGTTTGGGCACAAAGCCTTCCATAAAGTGATGCAGTTACCCAACAAGCCTTTCAACGAGACACTTACAAGATCTCTCAATCGATGGGGTGGAATGCAGCCTTCAGGTCAAGAAGTAAAGCCAGTGTCAGGCACCGGCAAGCGTATCTTCGTCTCAGAACAGGACCGAGGGTGCATATCTGGTCGGTATTTCCACGACCAGGTAGGAAACCTGTGCAGTTTCCTCGGACTTGCTGTTCCTGAACTTCACTCAGAAGTCCGGTAATTATAGAATTTAGAATTATAGACACTATGTTCTTCATCCTGACTACCCTGTAGTCATCACAAGACCAACTTTTATTAAGGTTGGGACAATCAGTGGTTGAAACCAACCACAGGGGATCATATCTGACTATCATACATTAGCTACCATCCCAGCTACTCTGACCAATGATCCCCAACCACCTTCCTTAATTACCTCCAATAATAACCCGTCCGGTCCTCCTATCCCTAACCGTTTCAGGTTACCTGCAGTTTTCTCAACTCCCAAAAGCGTTGGAAACGCTACCTCGGCATTCCATTTAGGATGCAACTGGATAGCAGGTAACGGGATAGTAGCTTTAGGTCAACTGACCTCCTCCTGAAAGTGCTCCGAGCATCATTCCAGTAGTTTCCTGTGAATGTATCACAGACGCATCCTTCTCCGCTATAATCTCGCTAACAATTGACCTTTTTACTTCAGTTCACTTAATAATCTCAGGTAAATGTCTAGTGTTACCTATAGCCACTGCCTTTCCCATCTCACCTTCACCATCGTCCAGTCAATGTGTAAGCTATTTATCGACCTACACTTGGGTTGCTTCCTCTCCCTATTGTGCTCAGAGCCTGTAGGATAACTGTCTACCTAGTCTCTCGGAGAAAGCAGGTTTAGTCTTTTCACCACCAAGCTGAGCTCGTAATGGTTTTGTTGCTGTAGTTTTTTACATCTAGTTGCGGAAACATGCATGCGTAAATGAGTGCGTGACGACTATTTAAGCAAGTAGGACATCAAAATTGGCAGCTTTTCACAAACCCTCACCAGCGGTAACTAATAGCAACATGGTCTGTCTGCATCCGCCGTTGATATGAAGTCAATGGACGCCACGTCAAACTGTCATTTTTTGTCTGACGTTTGTATTGACTAGAAACAAGTCTGGTCAAAGGTATAACAAGTGATCACCATCGGTTAGACCGGGTGGTACTGTGAAAACACTACCCAAGTCCCTTTCAGTCTGAAATGAGCATTAAAAACACCTACCACGAAAACCGATTCTGAATACCAGGCTTTAAGTAGTGAGCTAGGTAGTTTCCAGCGGAACTCATTTTTCGACTGATAGCTGCTACTCTCACGTGCTAGTTGGGCTTGCATATAACAATGATCCAAAGAGCTTTACAATCTGTAAAACTTGTTTTCGAGGTCCTATCCTGCCACAAAGGTCAGCTGCCACTGGAAGCTTCGGGAATGGAGGTAAGAAATTGCTGATAAAGTAACAGAAGTACTAAGTAGCGTATGGTAATAACAAATGGTGCCGTCATTCTGATTCACTTCACTGATCATCCCAGTCTATAAAAAAAGAGAGAACTCTTCTTGTGACGACCACAGGGGAACCAGCCTAACTAGTATTGGGTCCCGGATCTTAGCATCCATAAGTACCTGAAGCACAATTGTAGATTCAGAGCAAAATCGAGAGAACCAGATAGGTCTCACATACACCTAGATTACGGTGTACCAAACACATTTTCACCCTCCCACAGGTTCCGCAACAAGGGCATATTTACCGGAGGCCGACACACCTTATTTCCTGAGCTGAGGGTAGCATTTGACTCTGCCGATCATGAGGTGTTGTAGCAGTGTCTGACTCCCAAGAAAGTACCGATCAAATACATGATGCTTATCAAAGCTCTACACAAATGCATGTAGTCGTTCGAGGGACTACAGAGGGTTTTCCTCTCCCGGTTGATAGCTGCTACCTTGACGCGGTGACGGGGCTTACATAGCACAATGACTCAACGAGGTATACTGGTTGCGAAGCTTGTTCTCTCGAGGTCCTACGACGCCAGAAAGATCTGCTGGATAGTGGTAAGACGTACAGCAGCTACCGTTGTGGTGCGAATTGCTAAATACAAATCATATTTGAACCACACGGAGGGCCGCATCCTACTAATCTCGCAAGCCATCAACTAAACACCTGATAATTCAAATCGAATTTTGCAATGGCAAAAGAAAAAATGTGCCGTCATTTTATGTAATTTATAAGAACCACTCGCGTCTATCTTAATGTTTCGGGTGGTGTGCCAGCTTACACAACTATACAACAGTATGACCAGGAACTTGTATCGTTCCTGAACGACTTGCTGAGCAGCATTCAACTGTCCGTTGTATTGTTGAGTCAAAAAATATCTGACCTGTATCTTTTAAGTAAGCATTTGATAAAATGAAAAGTTCGGTTACAAACGACCGAACTACCAATTTAGAGAGATTAACAAAATCATTTGAGAAAGCTTATGTGTGTACCTTAATACAACCCGTAGCACTAAGTCCAACGCCATTAACCTTAACATCTTGCTTCAAACGTATAAAATCTTCATTGAGAAATAAAATGGCAAAGAACTGAAATCTTAGTCATCGTTACGACGACCGAACGGTAGAAACGTTAGTTTGTACCGATAGCATATCATTAAGAGTTTGCTCTATTATTTTATAAGCTAATTTGCGGACTGATAAAGGGTATGACTAATACTTAAACAACGTACCTGCGAACATATCTTTGTATTTTCGAGGTCCGAACTCAGACATTCTTCATCATGAGCACAAACATTTGACACCATTCGAAAATGACCACAAGGTTTACATGCAACACTTTCGGCAAAAAGCCCGCGGGACCGTAATGTTGAAATGCCCGCGAGTGCTGAAGTGGGTTTGCAGCTGTTCAATATCTCCCAAGCAGAAAGCTTCTTCAAAATGCTTCGCCTAGGCCATAATGACATGTTAACGTCTTGATAAATCCAAAAATCTCACTAAAAAGGCACGAAAAGGATTATGAAATGTTTCAAATAGTAGGTAATGCAACTGAGTTTCCGCCCAATTAACGACCATTTACGAGGGCACCATGATTTAAGTCCAACTACATGAATATCCAATATCTTTTCACGAGCCGGTGTAAAACAACTGACTTCTTTGCGCTTGTTTATAGGTTTTGTGGAACGGTTTCAGGTCTTTGGTGGATTCCGGTGCTGTAGGTCTACCCACTCGATTGCCATATCTCTGGTTAGCCCGACGGGAGGCTGAATGCTATCTGAATTTATAGGGAATGTATGGTTTTTTCAAGAACTGTGGTTTGGACGAGTTCCTCCAGTGTCGTACCACCAGAGAGTTGGTCGGAGTGGTTGTCAAAGAAGATAGAGAATATGTGCGGAGAAATGAAGGGAAAGGAAGCGCGGAGAAAAAGAAACAATAAGGTGAAAGGAAGCCGACCGGAAGAAGAAACCTAGGTAGATTCACGGCAGAAGAGTCATTGAGTGAGATTTTTCTGAGTGGCGTGGAAACGTAGAGCCAGAGGGAAGAGAAGGAGCAAGTAAGCTTGTAGGACTGCTTATGGGAAAAACGATGGCAATACTATTGGTAGGAGATGGTTACTATAGATTTCAGCAGGGAAGTATGAGGTTGAACCAGGTCCATGATGATAGTGGCGTTATAAACGGTTCTGTTATGGGTTGGCCGTGCTGAGCTGTGCGGAGTTAGCAGATTGTATCAACCTAGTCTATATCCCAGCTGGATGAGCGCGAACCGTATGTCCCTGCGTAATTGCCCAACCTCTTCTAGAAACTGCCAACATACGGAGTAGTAGTAATCTCGGCAGGCGATTCCTTCCAGTCGCCGTAAACTCGCAGAGAGGCGTTAACGAGCATGGGTTTCTACCCTATGCTGGGCGATTCCCCTCGTGTTATCACAAGGATCACCACAGTACCCGTTCGGTAGGATTCCACTGCTCGGATGACTTGAATTACTTTGCACTTTGTATGCGGCTATCCTGTCACCACCGAATCTATTATAGCTACGGGAGCAGAGCCCCAGGTCTTTCCACCTGTCCTCACACAGTTTTTATCCCACTCCCGTGACACCCTTTATTACTGGCCTCTGAATCTTCTCCAGGAAGTTCACGTCAGTTTTCGGGTACGGTGGTGTAACGACTTATTGGACCTCTAAGTGAGGTCATGTGTAGGTCTCGTACAGCTCCAGGAAGGGTTCCGGAGTGACGGCCCCTATTTGTCTATGCATGAAGGGCAGTACTGTGCGGCGCCGAAGGCATCTCCCGGGCAACTGAAGCTGGTGCCCAGATTCTTACTGAGTGTTAGTCCTAGACCCTTCTCCATGATTGTGTGGGAAAGCTGTGTTCCACAGAGAGAGTGGGATGCTTGCTGAGAGTTAAAGGTGCGGAGGAACACGGTTCGGCGCTTGTCCAGATTAAATGCTAGTCCACTGCGCGAGTGAACTGAGGTTACTATGCAGTACTCGTGATTCTGCTTCGGGTGTGACAGGTCTCCAGAACTTAAAGTCATCGGATTAAAGTAGAACCGGGGAGCTGAGATTCGATAGAAGTTCGTTCACAAAAAGAAGGGATAGCAGCTGGTCAAGGGCCGCTCCCCGCTGTACACCAGGTTATGATATCCATGAAGTCCGGCAGACACTCTTGACTTTTGTACTGAATTCTCCACCATCCAGATAGTCCTCTAACCAGGACAGCACTTGACCACCAATACCCAACATTGACATTTTGTGAACGAGAATGGTGTGCGGGGCTGTATCAAAGGCCGTAGCTAAATCCAGAAAAGTAACATGAACAGGGATTTGGAGGTCCCGACATGCCGCCCACTTATCACCGGCCACCAGAAGGTTTGTGGGGCAGGACCTACCCTTTCTAAAAGCATGTTGAGCATCAATTAGTGTTGCCCTCTTGTCCAAACGACCCCAGAAATAGTCGTCCAGTAGGCTCTCTATTACGTTTGACACCACTTGTAGAAGTGCTATGGGTCGATAGTACTCCGGGCAACCAGCGTCCTTTTTGGAGGTGGGAGACAAAATAACATATTTCCACTCTCATGGGAGCGTGTGATTGTCCAAGGAGCGTCGAAACGGACTGCAGATCTGACCGCATAGGCACCCACGCATTATTTTGACACACGGTTGGATGTCGTCGCATCCCGGCGATTTCCCTATGCTGGGTTTTGACAAACTCCGGGGTCCATAGTGGGAGTTACCCTTATTTCGGGCGGCCCTACTGCATTCACTAGTGCCCAGTAGCCGGAAATTTCGGTTGGATGACAGCTGTGCGTTGAAGGAGGCACTAAAGGTCTAGGTGATTTCCAGTCCACAGGGGTTTTCTCTGTTCAGGCCAATCAGAACGCTACCTCCCCGACTAGTAGACTTTCTGCCTGCCATGGATCGATATAGGTTTGATCTTCAAGTTTACTACTCCTTCGCACAACTTCGTCCACTTTGATATCACTCTTTTTCGTTCCACTTATTCTATGTATACTTCCGAGAAGTGTGGCCAACTGCGCCGATGCCTCTAACGTTGGGGTTCTATGTTGATTTTTTTCCTTCCCTCTCGTTTAAATATCTGGTAGAAAAGGCTGCATTCATCTCTCTTTAACCTGGTTATATGACTTTGGGACTGGTACTGTACGCCTTGATCTCTTGATCTCATGACCTGAGGTGATAAGTACTGTGTGATAATTTCTGTTTCGTTTCAAAACTTGCGGCTTCTTTTGGTGTCATCATAGATGGTGATGTCCTCCTCTCCGTTCCATTCAGGATCGCCAAAATCTTTCATACTTTTCAACCATTATCAGTTCGGTGATGCTTGTACACTGGCTCGTTTCATGCTCAGTTCAGAGCATGATACAAGATATTTATTCATCTGTCATAATGGCTAAGATTTCTGCAGTTTTCGAATCCTACGGTTGCCCAAAGTCCTATTTTTGACTTGGTGTTTCGCCCCATTATCGTAGTGGCCCTGGTTGGCTGCTTTGCTTGTTTACTTCATTTCACAACCGTTGCATGGCATTTGGGGGAGTATGTATCTTTGTACGGTGGGATCACAAGGAGTCGTTGACTCTCAGGTCTTGTTTCCGAGTATATCTTTAGGTTTCTCTGTTAACCCAACCCTGAGTAAACTGAAACTTCTGCCGGATTCTTCCAATGTAACTTCCTCATATGATTTTGAATTCTTGCCTCCTAGCGATTGAGTCATGATTGTTTATTGCCCGTGCCTGTGTTGCTTGTGTTTCTCCCGCACTTTTTATGCATTTCCGGATAACTCTACAGGGACAATGTTGAGTTTGACCTTTTTAAAATTTTATTCTCCATAGTAGATTTCCTGTTCTACAGCCTGGACTATTTGCTGCATGATTTAAACACTTTAGTGAACCTATTTTCATTGAAAGAGTGGGGTGTTCGGGAGTCTAACTATCGATTCGAATGGATGAGTTCCGAAGACGGATTAACTTTCAGACATCTACCATGGAACTGTTCGAAATCACCCAACTGCAAGTGACATTAATCTGACCCAAAATGCACCCCTGTTGCAGCCACCAGAGAGACTAAGGCCCCGAGGGAATGAATCGCTCGAACAGCCAAGGACCCATGCATTTCTGCGCCTCTGCGGACACATTGGCAACATGCATCATATCTCATGTAGACCGAATTGCGTTTTTCGTGCTCAAAAACGAGCCCATTGTCGTTTGCCAAGTTTCAAAGTTGGGTAATTCCTCCTACGGCACAACCATATCTTCTTGACTTCCGGTTCCTCCGCATAATTTCATGTTGCCGGTGAAAAGCAGGGTTCGAACCAGAACTTATCGCATCAAGTCACCTATGCATGTGAGTGAAATAAAGAGGATCCAGTAATAATAAATAAATATCTTCATTCTCAAGTTATGAACTCGACATGAGAGAAACCGGCTTAAAGGCACCATCAAATCGATAATCGCAGAGAAACGAAAAAGGTTTGATCAGTTTCGAATGGCACAGAAGGAGGAAGTTAAACTCTATCATGATACCAAGTGTCCAAATGTTATGAAAATAGGAAAATATCCCTTTACAGTACACACACATCATTCGGAGTTTAAATCATTCCCACTCACAACTCCTATTTCACATCAAACGGCGCAATATTCGGTGTTTGCGTTATGAGTAGCTGGCATGATTGACCCTTCTGCAAAACCCAGTGTTTCGTCGGATAAACGTCTATTTTAACAGTGATTCTCATGTTTGTGACTTTATTGATCAGCGATCATAATAATAATATTTATTCCTGAATATACAGGCACACACCATTTTTACAGGTATGAATAAGTTCATATACAAATTACACTCATCTTCATGGAAGGTAATCTGAATCCCTACTCGTTGTCGCTAGAAGATATAAGTGCTGCATGTTCATATAATGGAACATCCCAACAGAATAAGTGTGCAGAAAATTTACAAGTTGGACAAGTGGGGGTATTGTCTTCGTATTAACAAAAAAACCAGGTTTGTGTCTAGACACTACAGGTATTACCTAGAGAAAAATAAAGCTTGAAGCTAATACTTCCGTTGCAACGGTATGTACTTTTTGCTTGAGATAATGATGAAAAGTTTGTGAGTGAATGCATGCATGAATTGTTTACATATTGTACCTCATTGATGATTCCAGGACTGTATAGTTCATCCATGTTAGTGCCATTCTACAACAGAGATTCATAATCTTGATGAGTATTATGACTGAAAGCCAAATGTCTTCACTTTTCCAACTCCAGCTCCCAAAAGCAATAGACTTGTCTGAATGCACTAAATGCACATCCAGAACATCTTGTCCTTCTTTTTCACGGGTCGTGACAGCCTTGCAG